ATTAAATTCATTTTATCATGCTTTTATGAATCATGCTTTGGTCTCAAGTCTTAAGAATTTGTTGCTTATCTCGAGATACCAAAGAGTTTTCTTTTTCTCTAAAAGTTTTATAGTTTTAAATGATTCATTTTAATTGTTGAATAAGGTGAGACTTTGGTCTATTTTGTTTTTCACTTAGGATGCCCAATTACTCCAGCACCATTTGTTGAAGAGGCTCTTCTTTTGGTTATTTTTGTACCCTCATCAAGTCAGCTGGAGAATGAGAAGTTATACTCCATTTGTGATGCGTTAAAATGCATTGTACTGTCATGTATAACTAATTAGTACAAATTTTAAAAAACTGAATAAAAGTCAGCTAGGAATTTATATGTTCATTTCTGGGCTCTGTGTTGTTGTATACCTGTGCATCTATTCCTCTATCAACAAAGAACACACTCTTGATTATAATCTGTTTTGAAATTTAACGTATTGATCCCTCCTACTTTCTTTTTGTTTTAGCTGCTATTCTAATTCTTTTGCCTTTCCACTTGTGTCTACAGAAACCCATGTGGAGTTTCCATTAGGTATTTTGTTAGACTTGTACACTTTGGGGACAAAATGTTGAGTCTTCAATCCATAATAACACATCTTTCCATTTATTTATTTTTTAATTTCTTTCATCAGCAATTTATAGTTTCTACAAGTCATACGTGGCTCATTATATTTATACCTATATCAATTTTTTTGATTGTAATTTTGTCTTATGTTTATTGCTAGTACATAAAAACACAATTGATTTTAGTATGTTTACTTTTTATCTTGGAATCTTACTAAACTCATTTGCTATCTAGGATTTTGTAAACAGATGATGTTAGCTCTAAATAGGGAAAGTTTTAATTCTTCCTTTCCAATCTCTGTGGTTTTTCTTTTCCTTATTGCATTAGCTAGAATTTTTAGCACTATGCTAAATTAACCAGCTGAGAGCAGACATCTTTCCTTTGTTTTTAGTCTTGGGGTAAATAGTCATTCATCATTAAGTAGAATATTAGCTACAGTTTTGTGTGTTCTTTTTGAAGTTAAAGGATTTATCTGCTATTCCCATTTTTTTTTTTCAAATCATGGATACTAAATTTTGTCCAACATTTTTTCTTTGATTGGAATGATTCTTCTTCTTTAGCCTGTTAATATGGTGGTTGATTAAATATTAAACCAGCTTTGCACCTTTTACTGTCTCGTTTTGATTTCAGTATAAGATTCATATAATGAACTGTGTAGTATTCATTCATTCATCTTCTATTTTTTTTCTGAGATTGTATAGAATTGTTAATTTTTCTTCAAGTCTTTGGTAGCATTCTCCAGTTAAACAATCTGGATATAAACTTTTTTGCGGGGAGGGAAGGGAGTTTTTCAATTATAAATTCAATTTCCTTAATGATGCCGAGACTAACCATCTCTCACTTTTTAAAAATAACAATCAAGTATAGTCTGAGGGTGAAGAGAGGAGCCCAATAACAAAATATAATAAAAACAGCTGTGTATCTCTTCTATTGAATGCAATCTGAAAGAGAACACTAGTGCATACCAGCTGCTCTGGTTAACTGCTCAACCCCTTGTTCAGCACAGAATCTGGAAGGATGTTATGGTAGGACATTGCTCACAAGGCAGCACAAAAAGTACAAATTTGGAAAGTTCCGAGGTCCAACTGGCAAAAGCAGTGACAAGAAAGTTATGTTTAAGCATAAGCAAAATTCTTAGAGAACACTGAACCTTGACAATATGGTTTATACCTTTGTGTGACAAAATAACTTGTGTTGAAGTGCTCTTGTAGCTGGGAAGATAAAAAGGCAACTTGGAGCTGGGCACAGTGGTGCTTGCCTGTAGTTCTAGTTTCTGAGGCAAGAAAATCACTTTAGCTCACCATTTGAGAGAGCAACGAATGAGACCCTGTCTCAAAACAAACAATAGTACCTTGGAACTTAGATTGCTGATCACCTCTCCCTTGACTGCTTCCCCATGAACAGGAGATCCTAAAGAGAAGCTCTTGAATGCACCTTTTTCTATGAAGTTTTCATGTCTCCTATTGGTCAATAAAGTTTATCAATTGGGGAAAAAAAAAAGAACAAATTGTGCTACTTACTTCCAGTTAGCCTTCAATCTAAATAGAACCTTCACAATCTAAATAGAACCTTCACAATCTAAATAGAACCAACACAATCAATCACTTCCTCTCATCCTTGGCACTTAGAAAGCTGTTCTTTTGTAAGCACTTTTAAGTTGGAGGTTCTCTCCAGTGAACATCTTGACAAAAAGACCTCTTTAGGTTAACAAAAAATGGGTAAGTTTCTATAAAATGTTTAGTATATGTAGTTTTAATTCATTTAGATGCTATGAATATGGTTTGAGGACTGCCACAATTAATAAGGAAATAATCAAAGAATATTTTTGTCAAAAATTACCTTTTTGGTTTTTATTAAATTACTTCAGACATAACCATTGCCAAATGCCAGAAATTGACCTATCATTCCTTAGTTTATTAACTAAATATTAAGTTGGTAAGAAAGTACAGTGTAAAATTGGCACATTACCCACTAGCCTACTTTTGACAGTTTTCTAACTCCCAAACTGCAAATACTTCTTATAATTTCTAAGTATTACTTCTAGACACTTCTAATATCATTTTTCAAAAATTAGGTTTGGTAATGTCTCAGACACTACAAATATCTACCTGCATTTCCAGACACACTGAAAAGCTAAATGACATCTTTGTGATAAATAAAAGCATTTTAATATCAAAAATGCTTCAAGAATATCAGATACTTGAAAGGCTTACTTTTTGTGTGTGTGATCTGTACATTATCTCCCTGAAATCAGAAGTATCAGTTGATCTCATTAACTCCATGTCCTAAAATAAAAAAAAAAAATCCTCAAACACACTGTATACTGTAAGAATCATGGTTCTCAGAGCACTGAATATAAAATATAATACTGTGTGACACTTTTAATATCAGGTTAGACTTATAAAAAGTGAATCAAACTGTGAATTGAAGAAAATGCTGTTATTATCACTGTATACCCTCAAATACTGGAATTCATTTCATATATTGTATATTATATCTAAAATGTGCCCATTCCCATTTAGATAAAAGCATTACTATAACAAGGACAGCTTGAAAAATATAGTTTGCTGGATATTATTTTCCTATCCTTGTATTTGAATACACTATCAGGTTAATTCCGCATCACGTATGACCACAAGAATAGGATTCTAATTAGTATGTTATGCTCCATGTATGTATAATATACCAAAATGCACTCTACTGTCATGTATATCTAAAAAGATATATAAAAAAAAAAAGAAAAATATGGTTTGCAAGAAATTTTTCTTTCCAATAGGGTGGATTTTCTTTTCGAAACCTTTTTTAATGAAAGGAAAGAAAAAAAAAAAAGGAAAACTAGGTGGAACAATTATCTTCCCATTGTCTGACTGTCTTTTATACTCCATTTCATATTTATGTGCACCAGTATGAAGAAAACACAAATAGTTTTCAGGAAAAAAAAAGCAGTTTGAAGATTAAAGTATAGAGATTTCCTGGTTATGAATTCTTAATTGGTGACCAAATTCTTATAATATGGTATTAGAAATGGGAATTACAATCCTGATACTCCCACTATTTTATCTTAATAAAGATATGCCATACCTTCAACATAGACTACTCCAAAAACATTTTCTTAAAAATAAAAATGTCATAAAAAATTATTTAAAAATATGTAGTTCCAAGAAAGGACTGCTGTGGTTCACAAAATCCTGGAGACTATATGTTGTGGAAAACATCAGTAACAGTTTCAATACTATATCACAGCTTAATTATTTTACTAATAAGCATAATATGATTTGCCATAATATAAACATGGAATAAATTCAATTGAGTTCTAAAATGTGCAAACTCAACTTATGCTATTTTCAAAGTTAAATTATGATAAGTACCTACCTAGATATTTGCATGTATTATCAGCTTTGTAAATGATAACATGCAAAATTTATCAAGTTTTAAAAATCAGTATGCTCTGACTAAGCAATTCTGAGGATATATCACAAATAATCAAAGGTACAGATTTTCAAGGATATATTCATACATTCAAGGAATGGAAAGGCCTATCTACCCAAACTAAGAATTGATTCATTACATGATTCATCTACAAATGATGGACTCTTAAAGATGGTATTAACTCTGCAATAGGCTACAAAATAAACTGTATAGTCACATTTTAAAAATGTCTAGTGATCATTTATAGATGAAAGGCTATTATACTACATCTTGGCCTTTTAACATTTCTAGCTTCTCTACAATGACACATACTACATATGATCTTTTAAAAGAACTAAAAAGGACAAGTTTGTTCTTTGTGAAAAAAATATATTTGGGTTTAAATGAAGGCTAACACAATCTTCAAATACTGTAAAGGCATGAATATATACACATACATCTGCAAATATATGTGTATATATAAAATGACTATATTGTTAAAATAATTTTACCAAGATTAACAAAAGTTCTCCATTCCACAACCGTTATCTCTTTAGATTTTTTTATTGAAACAGTGAGATGAAAATGCATTTTTGCAGAGTTTTTATAAAATCCATTTGATAAAATTAAATATGAAATGAACATGCTAAATGCTGGGAAAGTAGGCCAAATCAGATCAGAAGGGAAAAAACTTCAGGTGAAAATTCAGTTAGAGAAATTTGAAAGCTTTCAAAGGCCTCGGGGATTGATACTTCCCTTTTAGAAATCCATGGAATTCCTCATTTGACATCATAATAGTATTTCTATACTTATCACTCCTAAATTGTTGGCCATAAATGAATAGAGAAAACTTCCACCAGTGAAGAGGCAGAAACTAGAGAGGAAAAGGGTAATGAAAATTTATGTATGCATATGTGAGAGGAGTTATTAAGCTATCAACACACCAGAACCAAAATTAAATTAAAAAAATAAGAATGAGAGTGAAGAAGCAAGAGAAAATGTGGAGCCATTTCTTTGTACAGACAATTTTCAGAATTCTCAACTGTTAATGCCCATCGGGTACATATCTTTCTAGTTCATAATAATATAGCTGATGCAAGATGTAGGACAATTCTAAACGTTAACAACTGTTTTTAGTAAGACTATTTTATTTTAAAATTTTTGAAATATAAAAATAATAAACATTATGGATATTTAACAAACAAAACATAATTCAACTATAAATAATAAAAATGTTGACAACCCCACATAAACCATGTAATACTATAAACATTCTAAGCATACAAGAGTAGTTTCTAGTTCAAGTTTTGCCTTTTTTAAGTTCAAGTTTTATTATCACTTTAAAAATAAACAAAAAGCTGCTACAGCTTAACCAATTACTTTCGCTCCACTCAAAGAGCAGGGAATATTTTTCCCCATGCCAACACACATTCATGAAATGGGATACTTATGGGCACAGGTATTAAACACTGGAACAATCCAGTCTTCAGACAAGAAAAAACTCCTTTGGTGTTTTTAGATTCAGCAGTCCACAGAAACTAAGTTAAAACAAACCACTTGTTAAAGGAAATCTTGTGCCAGACAGTATGTTCTGAAGTAGTACCACTCAAAACAAGTTCAGGATTCTGAGAATCAAAAGTAAACATATATGAATGCTTTGCTGATACTTAACAATAGTATCTTAAGAACATTCACTAAGGTGCTGGAATAAAATTTGGGGACAAAACAAAAACTCTACACATCAATGCAAAACTTGTACAATGTAATAATACATCTCTTAATAACTCATCAAGTATTCTGCAAATAGTCAAGAATTACTCTGCCTACTGTTGAGTGAAAGAAGGCAACTTGAAGCAGAGTAAGATTACATAATATTTTAGTACTAGAGAAGTTTTCCAATTGACATATGAGAAAACAGCCATGCTGAATACATTTTTTAAAATTTTAGTCAAATTAATAACCTTCTTATCAAAATAATCTTTTAGGGGAAGCTGGGCACAAATAAGTGTACAGTCATTCTGTACCATTTCCTTAACTTATGAGGTGTTTCAAATAGGCTGGGCTCTTTACTTGACTCAGCATGAACCACTTTTATAATTATGCTGCTAGATTAGAATAAATCATAAGCAATCACAGATTAAAGCCTAGCAAAGTCTAGACAACAGGTTCAAAATGATTAATGAAAGGTTTTGTAGCACCAACGACTTTTTCCTAAGACACTTGAGGGGCCTGTATCACTTTAAAGTATTATCTTGTAAACAAGACCAAAAATATTCAGTTGATCTGTACTTTGAGCATAAATATTTATAAACTCTATTAAAAAAACAAATATAGCATGACTAGAGTGGCTAATAGTGTAAAATCTAAGTATATTGAAAAATATAAAGATATATAAAAGGCTTCCATAATGCAATCATGCAGAGGTAAACCACTTCATTCATTACATAAAAGTGATTCTGTACAGTTATCTACACATAGCTCCATGAGAATCCTATTTAAGAAAATTTAAAAAATGAGAACCTATCTTTAATCAACATATGAGGATTTAAATACATAACTGACCAACTGGATCTCACAGCGATTTTCAAAAAACACAATGATCTTAATGAGAATCAAATCATCTTGACTTTTGATTCCCACTGGCATATTCAATTTGCTTTAATTTAAAAGCAAAGGGAAAAACCATGACAAAGTTGAAGGTGGTAGTAAATGGTCCACATCCATTAAAAAAACAAAATTTAAGAGCAAGTAGGGTCTCTTCAGAAGATGTTCTTTGGGTTCTAATCTAGCAGCTGAACTACTACTTTAGGGGCAGAGAGTCCTTCCTTGAAAATCAAAAGTACCAAACTAATCTGGGAAAATGTTTTTGAATTTCCGGTAGCTAGCTACCTGCTAGTTTGTAAATGCGAATGCCCCCGGCCCCCTCAAAAAAGTCAAGTTTAAGAAAACAAATGCCTTGTTAATAACTATCAGAAGACTTTTCACAATATGACTTTTCCCTTAACCATGCCTGTGTAACCAACGTGGATCAAAACAGATAATATTATGTTTATTACATTCTCTTCATTTTTTATAAGACAATCACGATGCATATTCAAGGGGAAAATAATGTAGAATAGTCAGCTTTGCACACAAAAAAAGTATGTCTGGATGAACTTAAAAAAAATGGTGAATAGAATCAGTGTAACTTCACTTTTCTAATAAAGACTTGAGTGCTCAAATGCCTAAGAATCTATGAAGGAATACTGAGAAAATTTTTTAAAAAATATTGAGTGTACATGAGATTTAATCATAGTCTTGGTAATTCTAAGCCATTGTTTATAAATAATTTGTATACACATTTTTAAAAATATGGAACGCTTCACGAATTTGTGTTATCCTTGAGCATGGGCCATGCTAATCTTCTCTGTATCATTCCAATTTTAGTATATGTGCTACTGAACCAAGCACTATGCACTTTTTAAAGCAGCTGAAACTATATAGTCTTTAACAATGTTAGACACATTATACTATTTCCCCTTGCTCATCTTTGATCATCTTTTGATGTTTGATTACAAGTGAAGAAAACAGGAAAAGCTGTGTAAACTGGACATTTAATAGATCTCTTTCAATATTTATAATCCACAGAGCATCATTTATTACTCAAAAAGAAAATTATTCTCCTTGTTTTGAAGAGCGAAGAATTAAAAAAAATAATATTTGGGTAAGTGGTGCTGGCAATGAAGTATATTCATTAAGAAATGGGCAAGCATTACAGTGTGTAAAAATATCTCATTTGTTCAAAATTATTTTAAGTGACTCTTGTAATCTCAGAAATATATCTTAAAACCAAGAAAAAACTAAAACCAAACTATGCTTAACTTTTTAATTCATTTTCTTCATTATAAATTGTTCATGCTAATGAACACACACAGTATCATGGCTTTATAGATTTCCCAGACACAATTCTCAATTTGGCTGAGGTTGAATGTACTCATATTAGGAAACTAAGAGGCCTTGTTCCTTCTTTAAGGTGTTTAAAAAAATAGTGGCTATAAAGTAAGGGGAAAAAACCTTTATGAATAAGGTCACACAGAACACACATTCAGATACTTCTGGACTCGGGTGTACTGTAAAGATAAAATGCTAATTATAGTACATGTAAACATCTATTCAATTGATAAAGGGCAACAAAATGATAGGATGATATTATCATTAACAGTCGTCTCCGGACAGGAACAGGTCTTGCTCTTGTAGTCACAAAACTAAATTCAGGCAATGATGATCTCTCTCTGCTGAAAAAAGAGAAGACTATTAAAAAAAAACTTTGCAAGAAGCAAATAATTCTAAAAATTGAGTCACACCATAAATTGATCTCCAACTTTTCTAAACATTAAAATAATCTTTTTGAGAAAGGAATCATAATCAAAGTTGCAGACAAATTACACAAAGGACTAGCTTTGGACTAAAGTGATTTTAACAAAACTTCTCTGCATCATGCTTCTTTGAAACATCAAGCTTCCAAAACTCACAGCACTATAACATGGTTCTGACTGAAATTTTCAGTTAGGAAATCTAGATCCTTATCAGGTTATATATTCATAGAGATGTGGGTAGGCAGAGAAAAATTTAAAAAATATGAACTCCAAGGTATTTTAAATAAAAATAAAAATTTTCTTTAAAGTAATTGCAAGGTATAACTAATTTCCTTAAATTCCATTCAATTACCATTTCATTCTTTAAACACTCTGTATGATATAAAATTCTATACTAAGTACTAAGGTCAAAAAGAAATGCATCAAAATGAGACAGTGTCTGGTATACCAAAAAAGACTAACTTTGGATGATGAGAAGAAAAGTGAATGGATGAAATAAAGAAACACGAAGGGAGAGACTTAGGAAGGAGTAAATATAAAAATGTGATGTGAAATTAAGAGTGCTTTCAATTAATTAAGTAATGAGCACAAAATACTAACAAAGTGCAAGATATTAGGTGTTTTTCTACTAAAGAAGTATGATGTTCTCATTTGAAATTATTGACAATGGGAGTAATGTTCACCAAAATTTCTTTCTTCCTAGGACTTTTAGGTAGCTATCTTAGAAGACTGTTTCATTTGATAAGTATATAATGTCAAAGAGAAAAAAATAGAACTATTCTTTTCTAAAAATCATATACATACCTTAGAACTAGCCAGTTCAAGATGTTAACAAAAATAAGTTTCTAATATATGGGAAAAAGAAATTTTCCTTCTGCCTTACAAATATTTTACAGTGGTGATTTAATTCTACATTAAATTTCCATTTTTAATTTATAGGATTTTAGAAGTTCTGAAAGAAAGCTCAAAAAAGTGAACTAATTTAACAATCATACAGGACATCTGTTTTAAAAGGCTAGCAAACTTTTTATAAAAGGGGGAGAGGCTCATAAATACTTAGGTAAATTCTAGGAGAACTAAATCTAATTTTCTATAATTAGTCTGTATTATGTGTAAGGGGAAAAAAGAAAATATGGATGGATAAAATCTGTATGATACTCTGATACAATCATTAATATTTCAACATACCAAACAAGCAACTGCTTTTTTTTTTAAAAGACCTTTATGCCCAATAGTTAGTGTTCCAAATAAGACTGGAAATACAGTGCCCCAAAACCAGTTTTAGTAACAAGATGTTTTCTTCTATTAAGTTCAGCTATACTTGTTATAAGTAATCAGCTAAAACAGTGAAGCCTTGTCTTTACACTACTGGTTGTTACATTGGATTATATGACAATAAAACAAAAGTTATGGAATATTCTCCATTCCTGCATCATAGTTTCATTAAATGTATGGGCATCAATTAAATACTTAATTTTTATAATGTTACAATTATCCAATAACACTTAAAACAACAACTGCTTAGAGACATAAAATACTGAAATATGTAAAATGACAACTCAACCATCCCTTGAGGTAATCCTAATCAATCTTTTAACCAGTAATATATGATTTTCCTGTTTTTTCTTATAAGCACATAACCTACGTTGCCCTTAATCCTTTTCCCATCCCCAACTCTGCCTGCAACAGCTCATATATGCACAGTAAAGCAAAAAACTTGTTAGTTGAATTATAGAATTTAAAAATGTTTCTACTTTTAGGTAGCATATTGTAAAAAAAAGAAAGTAAACTGAAATGAACAGAGGATTTAAATCCATATTTGCATATGAAGAGACTTTCTGCATTACAGGCAGATATTTTTATTTTTAAACCTTGAGTTTAGAAACAAAAGGAAAAGTTATAATAGGGAAATGGAAGTTGCTAGTGAATAGAGAAGTTAATTTTTACTTATTAGTAGGTTGAATGGAATTTGGGAAGTCTACATATAAAACTGTACCAAGGGATATTATATGTATTATCAAAACGACATCTAAGTTGTTTCCACTGATAAGATGATAGAAACAACAGCAACAACAGACATAAAGAATTGATTTATATATATTAAATTGTTTTGGAACACTAAAATAGCACCAAAGAAACTACACGTTTGAAAGGGATCTTAGAGATCATCTAGTCCAACCCCTTTCATTTTACAGACAAGGAAACAACCCTGGATAAGGTAAGAGACTTGTCTAAGGCCACAGTTAGTTGCAGAGCTGAGACCAAAAACTGTTATCTCTTAACACTTGTCCAGTTTTCTATACTAGGTCACCTTTGGATATAAAAAATTAGTGGGATGGACTAGATTGGTGATTCTCAGTATTTGCAATCACATTCTCTAATAGAAACTCAAAGGCTATATTACCTCTGATATTACAACATTTAACACTCCCAAATATTAATGCCTTACTAATTATTGTGGAAATTTCACTAAGACTGTAAGTATAAACCCTCTAAAGAGAAGTTTAACTGTATCCACTGTTTAGCAAAATGGTCTCAGTGACTGAAAAGACCATCAAAAGAAATTTTTGTAAAATTGATAAGAATTAACAAGGGAGGTAATTGTCACCCCATTACTGGAGATTTAAATATGCATTCATTCACTATATTATCCAACAAACATTTGAGTGCCCACATGAGCCAGGCTTTATGATAAGCAGTAGAGATAAAAAGATGAATAAGACATGGTCCCCTTCCTAGAGGAGCTTGTAACATATAACCAGATAAATTATATTACAACATAAGTATTGTAACAAAGATATGAACAAAGTGCTGCATTAAAAGGGAGGGTAAAAGTATGAACTTCCTGATGACAAATAAATATATTAATTTTGTGCAGTATCTCTGAGATAAGAACTACCACATTTACTATAAACACAATCTCATGACTTATCAATAATTAGGAAAGAAGTAGTAATGTAGTTTAATTTTTTTTTGGGGGGGGGGGGGCTGGCACAAGTGGGGACGCCTGTAATCCCAGTTACTCGTGAGGTTGAGGCAAAAGGATCCCAAGTTTAAGGCCAGTTTCAGCAACTTAGCTTGGCCTTCAGCAACTTAGAGCTAGTCTCAAAAACAAAACAAAACAAAATAAATAAACAAACAAAAAAAAAAGTAGGGGGTGGGGGTTGGGAGGAATCTGGAGATGTAGCTCAGTGGTGAAGCACTCCTGGGTTCAATCCCCAGTACCAAAAACAAAACACAAAAAGTTGGCACTGAATCAGAATGCTTATATTCAAATCTAGTCCTTCCACTCATGAGCCATGACTTTGGGTAAATCACTCCATTTCTATTAGCCTAAGTTTCCTTATCTGTAAAATGGGAATTAATGACTACTTAAATTTAATGAATACTTTAAATAAAAGAACATGTAAAAAGTACAACACAGAGAATGAGTATTTAGAAACATACCCATAAAAATCCATAATAAGTAACATTTATAATTAAAACCATACTAATGTCTATAAAAGTATAATTTCTGAACCTAATGAATGTTGGTAATATTTAATCTTCATACTGTCAGATCAAACTGAAACATACTTGTCTTCTGATTCATTTAAAGCAACATGGTTAAAACATTTAAAATTCTAGGTTACTAGGAAATTTAGGCTAGGTGTTTCTGGTTAGCTGTTTATGGGCTGAAATAAACAAAGCAGGTAATTTCAGGTACATTATAAGGGAATTTTACAGTAATTTTTGAAACATTGGGCGAAAATTTACTAATCAAATTATAAAGCCAAAAATCAGCATGGAGATTTAACTGGCCTTCGAAAGATTTACTTTCTTTATAATACCTGTTTGGTGTAAAGAGAAGAAACGTGAGCCTCTGCCAATTTGGCACCTTTCACGACTACTAAAAAGAAAAGAAAAGAAACTTACCTAATGAATCAGAATAGCACATAGTCAACATACAAAAGACTACATAAAAGTATATCATAGATATAAGTAAAGTTTTTGGTAAAGTAAGTATTTTTGACAACTGAAATCTGAGTGTGTAATTTTAAATATAAGCAACTGCAAGTCAAAACATTCCTACAAAATAGTATTACCATCAAGAAAGTACAACTTCAACCCAAAGTGTATGGGGAAGTTTAAAAAAAAAACAGCATCCATAAATGGAATTAGTTTTTGATTATAAGGTCTCCAATATGAATGAAAGTGATTTTTTAAAATGTGATTTTTAATATTATCTCTATAATCTCAAGAGAGGCAGAAACACTTGTAATTGAAATGATGGATTTTAAAAATAAATATAATAATCTCCTACCCCCTCATTCTACAAAGAATATATTTATTTCCTGAAAACCGCTATATCAACTTTCAATAATCATGTTCACTTGCCAGAGAAATCCACTTAAAAATCACAATATTGTTGCAAATTTCAAAGATTTTTATACAAGTATAGGAAATGCACACTTAAAGTATCAGACTGGAACACTTACCAAACAGTGTTTTCCTAAAGTAGTATCTATAGTACATTTCTTTATTCATACATCTTCAAATGGTCAAGTTTTCTTTCATACATCCAAAATGTAAAATGATGCTTTCTTATTCACCAAATGTTAGCTCTACTTGAAGTCTGGCTCCAAACTAATCAGCCTGCTTTTAAATTTTAAAACATCTGTTGAAAATTTATAGGATGAAACCAAACTGAAGTGGTAGAATTTTAAACATTGGATTGTACATTATTGTAAAGGTATCATTAATCATTAAGAATAAGTGATTATAGCTTCTTCTGTGATAATTGGGGGGAAGGGTAGATCACCATCTGGAATGGTCTATTTATTTTAATTTTTTATTTTCTTTTTTTTCCTTTGTTCTTTTTCTTTCTTTTCTTTTTTCTTTCTTTTTTTTTTCTTTTTTTTTAATCAAGGAACATTGTCTTGGACTTTTTTTTTCTTTTTGTCACTTTTTTCTTTTCTTTTCTTTTTAAGAGACCATTCCACTTTATTTTTAACATCCAGATGCATAAGGACTCATATGTAAAGCAGTCATACACCATTATTATTAAAACCCATGTGATAAAATACATACACAAGTCCAACAAAAGGCTAATACATAGTAAAGCCTAAGCATACTACTATGTAATATTATGAATACATAACTTGGAGACTTTAGTTAGAGTACTATGTTATCTATTCATTTTGAAAACATTCATTAAGATTTTAAATGCAAATTCATTCCTTATTTGGAGTAAAACAAAATCCTCTAAATTATAACAAGTATTGGGTCATATTTTTTCAGACCTATTCATTAAATTACAAAGAACCCAAAGAATTCTGTAATGTTCAGTAGAAGTATGTAATAAAAACATTGCATATTTCTAGTGTGATGTCTTTAGCAATTGTTTACTGAAATAAAATGCAAACATCAATCTTTCAAAATACAGGATCAGAAGGTAGTTTTCTTCTCTTTTGTCTATTTGTGAAATCCATCTTCATCACATTTTACCAAAAAATTGTTTTTACAAATATGTAAAAGTACATTAGATAATACTAATGAAACACAGGTAGAGTTCTAGCATATGCCGATCAATGATCAGTCAAATCATCTTCTCCAAGAACGAGATTCATTGTCCTCTTCTTCTTCATCATCATCTTGAAGTAATGAGTCATCCACCAAAGACTCTTCCTGAAACTTTAGGTTAAAATGTATTTAGGAATTTACCCAACAAAAAAAAAAAAAGAAAAGAAAAGAAAAAAAAAAAGGTGACACTTTTAAACACTGATCTCTCTGAGTCGAATACAATAGGTATTTTTAAAGCTAGAACATTAAAGAAACAAAAGTAACTGTTATCCACTCAATTATTTCTATTCTGTTGCTTGCAAGAAACAAGCACCAAAGAAATACCAAATTAAGACTTTGTATATGCCATTTCTCCTGCATCTAACAAATTAAACCACCATCTGTACCTTCAAAATACTACTACTTAATACTTCTTTAAAAAAAGAAAACATTAGGTTTTTGATTCTAACTCTGAACACTAAATTAACTAATGGCTTGTAAAAATTCGACTAAATTATCTATTTCTTTTCTGCTATACGTAACAAACATTTTATAGCATTCTTTTCTTTTCCCCAATCCCTTCATAAAAGTTTCTCAGACTGCTGTTCCAGACTTTTCAAAATACCTAATACCAGGAGCTCTCCTGCTTTTCTCCCCATTCAATTCAAACTCATGGAAGGACAAAGGTATAATCTAAAACATAAAATGACAAATCATGTATATGAGTTTCAAAGTATACATTTTATTCTTTCATTTGACTATGGATATGTATAACAGCCTTGAAATGCTCTTCTAACAAAATGAAGTGCCATTATGAAAATCTAACAAAGGTAAAAAAAAGAATCATTTAGTCTCCTCACCTTACCTTTATTTCTTAACCTCTTACTTTTCCCTACAGTTTCCTTTATGACTAGGCAAAACAGAGTTGCTTACTTTTAAAATTTTTGGTTTCAAAGTGTTCTCTCACTTCACTGTTTAAGATGCCCACACCTTTCAGTCATCATATTAATCACTATTACCCAAGAAAAATGCACTTTTCCATACCTATTCTGAAGTTTGTGGTTCTGCCTAAAATACGTTTCTCACTATATTTCCAGCTCCAGAATCTGGTTATGGAAAGCTATGTTATCACTCAGGGTCCAGCTCCACTGTCAATACCACCCTTGAATATTCTTTTGGACAGAAACAATCTCTCCTCCCTCAGGGTTTTCACAGCACGTTGTTCAAATCTTTATTCAGCATATCAGACTGCCTATTATTGTAATTAGTTTCTCAGGTATCTGCCACCACCCTCCTTTCCAGATTATAAGCTCCTTGATAGGGACCGTGTCTTATTCATTCTTGTGCCTATCACAGAATCTAGCATATAGTAGGCATTCACTAATGAACTAAAACGATATGAATTACAAGAAAGCTGAAACGTTAATACAGCAATTGAATAGAATAGATATCCTAAAACTTAAAATATTACAAATTTCCTGTGGATAAAAACTAATGAATAATTATTGTCTTCTAAGAGTAAATGAAAACTAAGTGTATGTGTGTGTGCACACATAGATATTTAAATATATGTGTGCACACATACACATAAATTTAAAATATGACTTTCATATATTCTCTCTTTGGATTAGTAATCAATAATCCTTGTCATGAATCCAGAAAATTTAAAGTCATCTGCATTATTCTGATATCCCCTGTCTGGAATATGGCTCAAGAACAAAAGCTTTATGATGAGATCACGGCCATTTAAAAAAAAAAAAAAATCACACTTTATATATATACTACGAACAATAAAGGGCAAAAACAAGTGGAAAAGAAAAACATACTTCCTCTTCATCAGGTTCAACATCTTCTGTTTCCACAGCTGAAATATTAGTTATGGGTTTATTCCATGCCAGTTTTAGATCCTGCCCTTTAAAACGAGCTCCATGAACTGCAGCCTAAAAAATTAAGAACATTGGTATATAGAACATTAATAATTTCTGAAAAAAATAAATTTTGTAGTGCCTAATATTTAAATTAAAATAGCCAAATTCAACTGTAGACGACTATCTACTCATTTGCTTTTTTGGTTTTACTATTTATTATTATAATTTGCAATTTATTTTTTATGGTTATTTATTTCTAAAAATCACCAGACTTGTGATTCAATAAACTTTACAAAAGAATACAACAATAATTTTTCATAACTGAGTAAAGCTATTTTACTACTGACCAATATTTGACCAGAAGAAATATATTTACAATACAATAATAGCTACTATATAAAACAACAATCCCAAGGCACTTCAATTTCAAATTCTTGGCTGTAGTTTCTGAATCAATGTCTAATTAAAATTAATAGGCTAAGTGAATTTTATTGCATTTCAATTGTTAATTTAAAAATGACATGTATAGTAACTACTAACTAGAAGCCTTTAACAAATACAAGAAAAAGTTTGCATGTATATTATCATCAAATTACATTAAATAATCATGACTACCATAAAAATGTTTGATGTATAACTGATATAAATATAAACATCTCAATAAATGAAGTGAAAACCCTGAACTGTTCTACTGGAAAGAGCAGTATTTCCTACAAAGCTTTTAGAACTGAATATTATAAAATTTGAACTAAGGAAATAGTCAAGACTAAGTACTTGCTACATTAAGTGACTGGTTTGGAAACAGGACATTCAAATTAAAGTAACATGAATGAACATAAATCAATGTTAGCAACATATTGAAATAACTCATAGTCACAAGATTTATAGTACAATCTCAAAAGTACAACATAATGTGAAATGTAGAAACAATTACATGTTCTGTGACTTGTGAACAGAGTTGTGTAATATTAAAGTCCCCAGGTATAAATTTTAAATCTGCACATATAAATTTATGATAAATTTAAAAGATTTTGTGCCTATTAAAATCCAGCTGCAAGTTTTTTAGTTCATGGCCTCATAACAATGTTACAGAATTAGAATTTTTTAAAAGTTACACAGTGCAAATAACTTCTGATTTAAGATAAAATTACATTTCCTCATCCCAATGCAAATACAGTCAATCTATATAAAGATGACATTTCTTTGAAATAAACTACCAAAGTACCAAGCTAAAGTCAGAAAAGATTTTTTAAAAATCTGAAGCAATATTTCTTTTCTTTTTGGTGGTGCTGGGGATTGAACCCAGGGCCTTGTGTATGTGAGGCAAGCACTCTACCAACTGAGCTATATCCCCAGCCCCCTAAAGCAATCATTTCTACAGACTTTTAAAAAAGATATGCTATAAAATTTTCTAAGTCCTAAGTTTCACAGATGAATTCTAATAAACTTTTAAGAAACATCTACCTAAATCTCAGAGCACAAAAAAAGATGGAAACTTTCCAATTACTTTTATAAAGACCAGTAATACAGATTCCTGACAAAAATAATGCTTCTCCTAAAATTTGCAATCCAATCTTACTTTTAAAACTTGATTTAAAAAGGGAAGAGCAAGAGCCAGGCGCGGTGGCACACACCTGTAATCCTAGAGTATGAGGAAGGAAGATCACTAGTTTAAAGCCAGACTCAGCAAAAGTGAAGTGCTAAGCAACTCAGTGAGACCCTGTTTCTAAATAAAATACAAAACAGGGCTGGGATGTGGCTCAGTGGCTGAGGTCCCCTGAGTACAATCCTTAATAACTCCCTAAGAAAAGGGGGGAAAGAGGTAGAAGGAGGAGGAGAAAGGAAGAGAGAAGAGCAGATTTTAATGATTTAGCAAAGAAATATAAAAATGAGATTTATACCAGAAATGGTTAGTTCAATGTTCGGGAGCAATACAAATGGAAGGGAGGGGGACCTTCATAGCTTAATAAATAAAAAAGGCATGGTAAAAATCCATTTCTGATCAAAAACCTCTACAGCTTTTAATAAAACATGCAAAGTTTATATTCTATCTTAAGATAAAAATCCAGCATCATTGGCTGGGGATGTGGCTCAAGTGGTAGCGCGCTCGCCTGGCATGCACGCGGCACTGGGTTCAATCCTCACCACCACATACAAATAAAGATGTTGTGTCTGCCGAAAACTAAAAAATAAATATTAAAAAATTCTCTCTAAAAAAAAAAAAAAAAAATCCAGCATCACACATAGTACTAAAAATAACAAAGCATTTTCATTCATTTCATGATGAAATATTACTGCTACTAATGCTTTTAACATTTTTCTGAAGGTACTAACAACAAATAATAAAAAGGATTAACTGTAGGGATCAAGATAAAACTATCTGAAAAAACAAAAATATCAAAAGATATTATTAAGATGGTATTTATATAGATGACCAATCTTCCCACATGAGAGATGACCAATCTTCCCACATACAAAACAGCAATAAAAAGATGCATTAATGGTAGAAAATTTTACAAATAATATGCACTACACACTGTCTCTCCCCTCCCATATATATATATATATACATAGAAAAATCTAACTTATGGGATGGTGGTATAGCTCAGTGGTAGTACATTTGCCTAGAATGTGTCTGGCCCTGAATTTGCTCTCTTAGAATTTGCTCTCTAAGCTGTAATTTATGAACTGATTTCCTAACACAGTCCCACCTTACGGTGGTTTTACTTTCCAAAGTTTCAGTCAAACTTGATCCAAAAATATTAATGGAAAATTCCTGATAATAAACAATTCATTGCCATTCAGAGTACCATGATGAAATCTCAATTCTACATGGAAAGTGAATTATCCACAAAGCATCCACACTATATATACTACTTGCTCCAAGAAAAATCACATTTACATAACTTATATTACAGTGTATTATTTCTAATTACTATTGTAAATCTCCTACAGTAGCTATCTCATGTTTGGGGGGTGGGGTACAGTATAAATAAGGTTTGGCACTGTCTGAAGTCTCAGGCATCTACTAGGGAAGGAAGACATTGATAGGTTTGCTTTGATAAGAGAGGGACAAACACATAAAGAATACACAAAAATCAATTATGAGAAATCAGTAGACCATTCAGAAAAATAATAGGCAAATGGCATTAAGTTAACAGAAATAGAAATAAATAGCATTTAAGCATGTGAAAACAGCTCAACTTCAATCATAGGAGGAAAGTTAATCAAAACTGAAATGAAAACTGGGCATGGTATCATAACCCTGTAGTCGCAGGTTCTCAAGAGGAAGAAGCAGGACAATCCAATATTTGAGGCCAGCCTATACAACAAAGTGAGACACTGTCTTTATTCAAAACAAAACACAAAACAAACTGAATGAGTTCCCATTTTACAAGATAAAACTGTTTGATACCTCGCTGTATCAAGAATGAAGACAAAACTACATAACCATGATTTTCTGTTTTGTTTTGTCTTTGGCAAGTGGTAAAATCATTATGTAATATACACACTATGGCAAGAGCATTAAAAGTTAATGTATGCATATATGTATGTACACACATGTATGTATAATATGTATATTTTTTTTATTCCCAGTTTTGATCACTGAAAAGGATTAGTGACTATTAGCATCCCTAGTACTCAGACTGTGGTTTCTTTGTTTAATTAAAAAAAGAAAAGTTCCTTAGAAAAATAATAAATTCCATGCCTGAAGAGAAAAAGTATAAAGTGAGCCAAGAATACCTTTTTAAAATTAGAAAACAAGGACACTATTTAAACCACTAGAATCCTGTCAAAAAGATTCAAGAACCAATTTATACAGTTTATTGGGCAAAAATGGGACAATTTGAACATTAATAACTGAGAACAATGGATCAATAACCATGAAATGCTTAAAAATTATTATTAAAATATCAAGGAAAGTTAAGCTCTCATTGGATATTTGATATTTAAGAAATAACATATTTAAGCATTATATTGTTCTATTTTTTTTTACAGTTCTATTATTGAGACGTACACATTGAAATATGAACAGATGAAATGACATAGCTCCAATATAGGAAGGGAAATGTTGTTGTAGTGAATGAGATTAAGATTGGCTAGTAGTGGATAATTGCTGAAGCTCAATGATGAGCCTGTGGGAACTCATTTTACAATTCTAATTTCTATACTATGACCTACTAAAAGAAGTGTCTTCAAGCTAAAGCATTTTATTCATAGGCTTGCCTCCAGTCCTTTGACTATTTATGCATACACACATTCATTTGAGGCTTATTGCAATGTAGAAAGGAAAGCAAGCATACACACAACAGAAAGAAAAAAGGCTGAAAATCTGACAAAGGAGAAAGAAATAACTATGAAAAGTAGTTATGAGTTCCAAGTCTTACATGGAAAAAGTTTCTGGAAAACAATTTTTTGAATGAAATTTTTAAAAAAGGTAGATTATGCAAAATTAGACAAGTTTGTTTACCTTCTCAATTCTCAAGTCCTTTAGATTGTGGTTCCATATGGATTATACAAAATGAGCCTTTCTCAAGTTTATCTGACAAGAAAATTCTTTATTATGGGAGACTGTGCCAAAGCAGAGTTCTATGGAAACTGGCAAAAATTGTTCTAAGGTATAGGTGCGTAGGGGCAGGAGTTACTTTAAATGACCACGATGAATTCCATTCCTTCAACTCTGGAACTCAAGGCACATAGCCACTTTCTCCCAAGCTTCAAACCTAATGTTAATTAATTCTGCAAGCACAGTGCCCTTCATATACCATTAATAATTGTTAAGACAATAAAAGCACACATGAAAAATACTCTACATAATTTCATTTCTTATCTACTAACATTGTTCTGGCTATAAATTTACCATTTACTTAATGAATTTCATCAACTTCTGACTATTGATACTGTATTCTCTACAAACCCAATTCTGTACTTCTAATTTTAGAAGTTCTACAGAATAAGAGTTTTGATAACATTTACTCCATCTTGCCTTTATCCTGTTCCACTGATTTGCCAATCACTCCTCATATTAAAAAAAAAAAAAAAAAGCACAATAATACAATAATGGCTAATAGAGACTTTACTATATATCAGATCCTAACTTACAGGTTTTGAATCAGTAAAATCTCACAACTATTGCAAGTTGAGGGATGGGTGTCAAAATGTGTGCGTAGAACAAGGTTCTTTCTTTTTGATATGAAAAACTATACTTCTAAGTTTGGGATCATGGGCTTCATCTTTGGGACTGATTCTTCTAAGACAGTAACTTAACCATCCCTTCACCATCTCATTTTGAAAACAAGAACCTAGTATCCTAAAAAACATACTGGTAAAATTGAGAGTATGAAAAATAACATTCTATCTAATCAGTCATGTGATGAGTCTACTTTTTTCTAAATTCTATTTGGGTACTTACTCATCTTGAATACACTGGCACAGTGATAAGTAGAAAGTAAAATAAAAAATAATAGTAATCACTTTCTTACTAACCAGAATCGAAGCGTAATAACTACCTAAACTTAAAATTTAAAGTATTCTGCTTATATTCTTTAAAATACTTCAATTTTTTTCCTGGGGAAAATTTTTCTCTTCAGGTATGCCTGAATGACTCAATTATATTATACCTGTACTTTCATCTAGAACTATTATGTACCTATTGGCTTATTGAAAAACAAAGAAAAATTCATTTGCTCATCAACAACAATGGTCCAGAAAATAAGAAAAGAATATCAGTTAGAAATAAACACTAGCAAAAGCTGACAATTTTCTTTTCTTGGAAAGGCCTATCTTTCATATTGAATTTACATCTGCTTATATTTTTGGTATTAGAATTTCTTACATATATGATAGCAATAGTACATAACAATCTTTTTTAATTTTTTAAGCATTCTTCCCTGTCAAAAAAAAAAAAAAAAAAAAAAAAATTGGCACTCCCTACCTCAAAAGCACTAATTTTCAAATTCCTAACCACTTTTGTTCCCTAATATCAAGAAATTTCAAAATTACTTTTCTCATCTGTATTTTGCTTGTATATGATCAGCTTCAACCTTTTTATTCTTTTCAAAGAGTGTTATGAATTTGTAAGAAACTTTTTAGCTTAAGAAATGTTTATGGTTTCACAACTTTTATAACTTAATACCAAATATTTATCATAGCAGTGGGAGTTATTTCTTCCAGCCTATTAAAAAAATCCAACTAAAATGGTATTTACACTGAACAGGTAACACTCTCTAGACATATGTAACTAAAACTTACTTATTCTGTTACTTATTAAAATTTCATATAATTTAGTCCTTAAGTCTTTCTTATATATTAATTCTTGGCTTTTAAATTGTTATTCAGTTTGGAAAATAAAAATATATAAAAATACCCCAATGATTCAAATGTATGAATTGCCAAGATCATTGTAATGTCATGTGTAGCTAATAAAAAAAAAAATTAAATTAAATTTAAAAAAATAAATAAATAAAAAATAAACATCTAAGGTAGAAAAGGCGATATCCAAGAAAGGAGTATGTCAATAGGGCTTACCAACAGCAAAACTTCCAGAAATTATTTTAAAAGGTTTTTAGTTTTTTTCTTATCCATGCAAATATTCAGTGATTAGTACGTATATATTTTTTTATTTGTGCATTCTAATTATACATAATAATAGGACTCATTATGTCATATTCATACACACACACATACATAACAACTTTTTCATGTTTCATTCCATAATACCTTCCCTTTCTTTACCCCCTTCCCTTTCTCTGATCTACTTTCTCCTTTACTGATCTCCCTTTTAAATTATTATTATTTGTTCTACTTTACTGATCTCCCTTTATCATCATCATCATCATCATCATCATTATTATTATTTTGACTATCAGGATTCATTGTGGTATTTTTATACAGGTTCTTACTAAATCTACAAACTTGGTAATATCATTTTTAACCTCTTGTCCAATAATAATTATCATTGTTTTATAATATCGCTATTTCCTAGAAATTAAGAAAAACATAAAGAAATGTTACTCAAACAACCTATCAATGGACTTAAAATTATCACCAAAACTGACTTTGAAAGGGAAGCTTATTACATGGCTTGTACAGACCAATATCTTTCAGAGAAAACTTGATTAAAGTTCTACATTTTTCAACAAAACAAATTTGAAAGAAAATTTTAAACTCTCACAATTATAAATAAATGACTTTTTACTTGGACAAAAGGTCTTTACATGATATAAGACTCAAAACTAGATTTTTAAGTGTTAGGTATAACTTAGTGGTAGAGTGCGTGCTTAGCATAGATGACAGACAGGTCAATCCGCAATACCACAAACCCAAAAACAAAACCTACCTGAGAGTTCCCTAGATTTTAAAGGATAAAAACTCAAGGATCAGGGATTCCTATTCTATGAAATAATACCCTAACTTAACCACCCCTACACACCCCACCAGAAACTAGATTATTCTAGGGTTCCAGTAAATACGTTTCTAAGACTTAGCAGACTCACAATCTTAACACTTGCTATAATGCCCAGAGAGTAACTCCTACCAGGTTAACCCTCAATGATGCTCCATTGTGCTGACAGGGGATACAAACAGAATAAAACAAGTTAGAAGGTTTTTCAAACTGATTATTTAGATCACCATCAACCTAAAACTTTTAAAAGGCATCTTCCAGTTAACTGTCTGGAAAACTATCTTGTGTTTTCAGTAATGCCAAAGACAAAATAGTTACATTGTCTTCCACATAAAGAATATACAGGGCTAAAAAGGCTATTATGAATCTCCCACAGGTGAAGATAACTTCTGGTCAGTCTCTGAAAAGACCACTCAACATTAACAACTATACTAAGAGTACTCTAAAAACTAGAGCTACATATCATATCTTGAGCAAAAAGAAGTACTAGTCTATTTGGGGATATGCTAAGCTAGAGGCACTTTAGAATTCAGCCTGCTGGAAACTAGGAAGCAACAGATGAGAGATAAGTATGAAGGGAAGACATGGACTGGGCTTGTGGTTCAGTGATAGAGCACTTGCCTAGCACACACAAGGCACTGGGTTCGACAAATAAAGGTATTGTGTCCATCTATAACTAAAAATGAAATTTAAAAAAAAAAGGGAAGACATCAGGATTATATTCTCTGGGCTTCTATCTTAACCCTTACAACTCATTCTGTCAAAGCAGACTTTGTTCTGGGAGAGTTAAGAAAGAATAATAATGGAAAGTAGGGTAGGATCTGTATCCTTAAAAAATATTTTAAAAGATTTCATGTGTCTAAAAAATATAACTTAACATTCAACTTGGTGACTATTACACACTCTTTCACTCTCTCTACATGTATGTATGCATGTTCGTGTATGTATATATCTTCTAATTGTATAACGCTACATGCAGACTTGCCTAACTGCTTTAGGACATTTCTTATAGCATGAGTTCCACTTCAAATATTCTACCTATTGTCAAACATATTTATTCATTAAATTTAAACATTCATTATATTAAACCTTAAAAATTATTAATCATTTAAATCTAAATTTTTGATAAATTACTTTTAATACTTACTGCTTCTGCTTCTGCTCTTGTCTTGAATGTAATTACTGCATGAAGTGAAGAATCATCAATCTGACAATCTTCAATTTCACCATATTGCTTTAAATTAAAAAGAAAAAAGTATTTTCACCAAATAAATATTCTGGAGCATCCACAATCCCAATGACATTAAAAACATATATATCACCCAGAATACATAACAATCCATACTGGTTAATAGAAAAGAATGGTGAATAATTTATTTTAGTACTTGGTATTATAAGATAAAGGGTAGCCCTATCTTCCAATCTCACTTCCAATTCCATACTTTCCAGAATTTGTGAACAGACTTGAGGGATATTATTCTTTAAATGAAGTACCAATGGTCAAAGTCTGAGTTCCCGAACTGACCTTCCTCTTACATTTACTACTCCAAGCCCAGAACATGCTATATTTGTTCTTAAAACAGCATACTGGATAATCAAAATACTATGAATTTTTTGTATCAATCCCAATAAATGGGGGTAAAAAAGATTCAGAGAATTTAAGCAATCTTCTGAAAGTAATTAAGTCAAATACTAAGATGCGAACCCTGGTCTTTTGATTAGAAAGTTTAACACCCCAACTAATCATGTTTTCACTTACTATACATTCTGTTATCCCACACCCTCTTACAAGACATTTAAAAGTTAAGCACACTATATTCTGCCTATTTTGGGTTTGTGGAATTTTTTTTTACCATATATAGGAGTAACTTTTATCATATAAAATTTATGTCCCTTATATATTAAGTTCTCACCCCTAACTAAAACTATAATTATAAATTTCATTAATCATACACGTGTGCGTGCGTGTGTGTGCGCGTGCACACATACACACACACAAATTCTGTAGAGCATAAGAGAATGGACAGTAGAGCTACTCAGAAACCAGTTCTGCTAGTTACTGTGTAAACCTGAACAAGTTACTTCATCTCTTCATGTTTCATCTTCTTCATCTCAAAAATGAGCAGAACAAAGGGTGATTCAAATAACTCCTAATATAATGAACTGTTTTTTAAAGCATACGGAATAATACATGCTATAAAATAAATGCTCTAAGTTTTAGCAATGATTTTTATCTCCATTATTACTGGTCTCAGCAGATAAATTAAAGAAAGTAGTCTGTTAGTCAAAATCAAAATGTGCAATAGCCAATGGTCCTTTGATTAATGTTGGCTTTCTTTTCTTCTGATATATCTCATGTGTTTCAGTTACACAAGTTATAATGGAAAAGTTCAACTTTAGACCTGTATTTCTATGTAAGATTGGTAATTTGTAATGTGAAATATCACTAACTTTTGAGTAGAATTCAAGTCTCCAAGGATATGAAAAAATTTCCATTTAGGGATTTTGAATATTTCTCAAAGCAAAATCATCTTAGTCTCAGCAAAACACAATCATAATAATAAACTGAAGTTGTTTGTTTGGATTATTTTAGCATATTCATTGCTAGTTTCCTAATTAGCTATATAACTATATGCAAGACACTTAAGTTATCTGGATCTCATTTCCCTTGTGGAAGGTATGAAAGTGATATACATAGCCAGGAAAAATTGGGTTATATTATCTCCAAATTCTTTTCTAGTTCTCTGATTCCTTTCCTTATCCCTTTGACTCCATCAAGCACAGGACTTTCCAGACTCCTCATCCTTAAATATTAATCATCCCAGTTATTTCTTAAACATACACCATTTCTTTTATGTCCCGACAAAATATGTTAGTTGCTTCAAGGCAGGAACATGACTATCAATACTTAAATCTAAATTTTCAAAAGGTTTAAAAAAAATCATAGTATAACTATATGCAAGTTGACCTATCCTTCAATATCTAAGCTTCAGTTCTACTACCTGATTAATTATTTTTTTTCAATATTTTTTAAAATTTATTTTTATGTGGTGCTCAGGATCGAACCCAGTGCCTTGTTGTGCTAGTCAAGTGTTCTACCACTGAGCCACAACCCCAACCCCTTGATTAACTTTTAATGTTACATTATTTTCCATCATATGCCAGTGACAAAGATACTTACTTCGCTAAGTTACTAAAGTACTTACAGTGTTTAATAAATTGCCTGAATCTATATTATATTCACACTTTAAGTGGTTTATATTAAATCAATACATATGAAATCCTTGAGGATAAGCACTGGTTACCCTATAATGCTTAGTAAAACTGATGTTTAGTAAATAATTATTGGGATACCACTAAGAATCACAACATTTAAGATTAAGCAGCACAAAGGTGGGTAAAATCTCTATTCTACACATGAGACTAATGAATTCCAGAAAGTTTTAAGTTAAATAAAGGATTAGCAGGGACTAGAATCTCCTTTTCCTTTCTTTTAATTTATCTATTACCATTGTATAAAACTCTTTTAAGTAACTAAGGAAATTTAAGATCATATCAAAATTTTGCCTGCTTCAATTCTTTGATCAAGAATACAATATTAATAAAGAAAATTCTATTCAGAAAAAAATTTGCTATGGCCCATGTAACATGTTAAATTTTCCTTGTAAGTAAATATCAAAACTAAATTACAAGACCTGGTGCGGCAGAACATGAAGAATAAACAAACAAACAAAACAAACTACAGGATGTCTTTGTCTGAAACAACAAAGTTTAAATCATTCATTTCATAACACCTGAAGTCCTCCTAATGTAAGAATTTTAACATTCCTTCAAGATAATTTAAAAATACTATAGTTCCCATTTTATAAATAATTAACAAATGTATTATGGATTTATTCAAATGCTTGTTCAGATCAACTAGTTTAAATTAGTCATGTCATTTTCATAATTTTTTATTTAATTTTATCGATCATCTACAATGATGATTATCAGTAACTGTTCTCTTGGGTAGTAAAATAGTACCGCAAAATGAGGAAGAAGATCTTCTCTATCACTCTCTGTAAATGCTGAAATCTCCAATGCTCTAGGACGATGATCCACCACAGCATGACCAGGCACACCACGTCCACGACCTCGACCCCTGCCTCGGCCATGAGTGGCACCTCGACCTCTTGAATGAATTCCTCTACCCCGACCAGATGAAAGAATCCCTCGTTTCGCAGCCTACAAGAAGTTAGATGCTCAGGTTAAACAATGCAGTCGGAACACATTGAATATGTTTTATCTAAAATGTCTGGGATCGAAAACGTTTCAGATTTCAAGAGTTTATCAAATTTTGAAATATTTGCATAGACTAACACAAATCCAAAACTTTCCTTTTTGGAGCATTTGGGGTTTCAGATTAGAAACACTCAACCTGTCTTAACATAAGCCAAGTGTTATACTCTGGCAGATGAGCCAAACTTTTATGTAACTTGACATTATATTCAAATAATGTCCTATAAAAGGATCACATAATTAAATTAGAGTTTTAAACTGAAACTTTTAGGGTAGTAAGTGAATTTAGATAACAAAATAATATTAAAGGTTCTGAAATTACTAAATGTGCCTTTTTCTTAATTCTTGCTAAACTGTCACGATATGGTACAAAAAGATCAGCAATTTGAGATTTCTTAAATGGCATACAGTGTTGAAGATTACTTCAAAAGTCAGGTTAATACACAGACACATAATATCCACATACACAATAAATACATTTTCAATATAACATTCTATTTCTTAACCTGTTGACTCAATGGGTTAATTACTAACGGATCAGATAGGTATAGTTATCTCAAAATCATAATTTTGATCACTTATTACTAACATCATTATAGGGCCAAGGTATTATACTAATTAATATTCTACCATAACACTCTGTATGAGTAGTGTATTATTTCTTCATTCCAGAAATATTTACCAACCACTTGTACTATGCAAGTCCTTATCCTCAACAAGTTCAAAACTTAAGAGGGATAAAGAGACATCAAACAACTAAGTTATCTAGTTATATTAATGAAAAGTGACTTTAAAAAGTGATGAAATACTTTAAATATTTGAACAGAACTTTAAAGATCTGCAGTGAGCAACCACCTATGATGAAGTTTCTTGAAGGTGATTTTTAATTCCCTGCTTTATCCTCAGCACCTTCAACAGTAGCTGGCAGATTGTACTTAATATTTGTTCAATGAATCAAAGAAAAAAATGCAAGTGCGACACAAGAGTTTCAATATAAGAAAAGGCACCAAAGCTGAAAGGAACACTGTTTTCCAAACAGATAAAATTCAGTGCAGTTGCATCCAGGGATCAGGATCAGCTGAATTAGGGATCAGGTTAAGGAGTTTTATTTTTATCTCAGACCATAAAAATCTATTAAGAATTTAAGCAGTAAAATAGAGTAATGTAATCAATTCAGCATTAAAAATGAAATTATAGCTAGATTTTTAGGAATACAGTAGAAGAAAGAATGAGCTGGGAAATCAGTATGTCACTATAGTAGTATCAGCAAGGAAGACAGAAAAGAATAAACATTTAAATATGGAAGTTAAAATGGATAATTAAATGGATATGGACATTGAAGGAAAGGGAGGAATCAATAAAGACTCCTATACTTCTAATTTGGGTAACTGTATAAATGGGGTTTAGGAGCAAGAGAAGCACAATTCTGAATTTACTGATGAGGATATTAGACATCCAAATGGAAATGACAAGCAGGCACAACTGTCAAACCTCTATTAGTGTAAATATTTTAGTTTCTTCATCTCAAGGCAGTTAATCTTTACATTAGCCAAAACAATCATCTAAAATCCAAATAATAATGTTAAATGATATAAGTCATGCATAGAAAGACAAATATAGTATAATTTCATTCATATATAGCATCTAAAAAAACCCCCCAAACTCATAAAAGCAGAACCATGGTTAACCAAAGCCTGTACTGGCATGGAGAATGGGGAGATGTTGATCAAAGGGTACAAAGTTTCAGTTAGACAGGAAGAAGTTGTTTTGAGTATCTTGCACAGCATAGTGACTATAATTGATGATAATGTATTATATACTTCTAAGAACAGATTTTAAATGTTTTATTTTCCTAAAAAAAGTATGCGAGGTGATAGATGTTACAGCAATATCCTAAAGCATGCTCCAAGGAATACATCTCAAGATGCTCCTTGAAATATAAATTTGAGTAAACATGAATTTTTAATTGTATTTCAAGATTCACAAATTAAAAGCCTCTAAGAAACATATAGTCAGGTTAATACATTCATGCCACCAACACTAGCATGAACGGGGACAACACAATTTCTATAACATATAATATTTTTAACATAAAACTTATTTAAAATTATCCTGGGTAGGACATGATCAAGTCCCTAGAGAATGCAAATGTCTGCATGTTTAAAACAATCCTATAGTTTCCTCTAACTCTTGACAAAATACGCCTTTAAGACAACTCTGGTAGCTGCTGTTAAGTCTTTAATACCTATACAGTAGTAACTCAATAGATTTCTACTACACTGAAACAAATACAAAAACAAAACAAAAGTGACGACATTGCCAAGAAACTGAAAACAGCATTATACTCAGATTAATCAAAATAATCTAAAACAAGAAAAATTTAAACTGTCAAATGATGAAAATAAACCTGTAAATAATATATTAATGACTCTTTCCATACATTAGAATGTAATTCTAGTTTTTAAACATTTCTGGGGAAAATATTAAAACTTATTATGTCATATAATTGCGATCAATTTTGCTAGGGGTTTTTCAAAACAAACCATATAATTGGGCTGAGGATGTAGCTCAGTGGTAGAGTGCTTGCCCAGCATGTGCAAGGCCCTGGGTTTAATCCCCAGTAGCCCCCACTCCAAAAAATAACCCTATGTAACTTTATTACAAGAAAGTGGTTTATTTTCTCTTTTAAAACATCCACAGCACCATCTATAGGCAAAACTTAAGCAAGCATGTTTTTCAGTACAGTTCTACCACTAGAAGTAGGACCTTTAGAGCAAGTTAATATGCCTATATATAAAAGAATATCTCCACAAGAATGTCTGAAAAGCCTTTAATAGTTCTTAGTCCTAGGGAAAAAGAAAGGCCAAAAAGAAATAAAATTCACTAGAAATGAAGAAATCTGAGCATATAGGTAGAACCAATGCCTCACCTCATTAAATAACATTTTTCTATAATAGTTTTGAAAAAACCTGTTGTCCTCTTTCCTCTCCATTTTAATATACCAACACATATGGCAGTCAATAATTGTTGACCAGATGGACATATTATTTTCAGTTAACCACTACAACTACATCTGCTTATTTTAAGTACACTGTGTAGCTGTGATAAAACATACTTCCAGCTGTAATTCTGTATACTTTCTCCTAAGTTCAGTGACTTCTTCCCCAGCTTGCATCTTCTTATATAAATCCAATTCTGTGTCAAGTAATTCTTTCTGCATCTAAAAAAAATAAATATTTTAGTTAATAATAACTAATATCCTGCACGTATACTAAACTTAAAAAAAAAAAAAAAATGAACTTCTACATATTTTCCATTTAATCCATACATTTCTTTCCTATCTCTATTACTAATACTCCAGTCCAAGCCATGGACCACCTCTGGTTAAAAATACTGCAAGCGTTTCCTCACTTGTTGCTAATTCTACACATTTCCCTACAATTAACTTTCTGTACTACAGCCAGAGTGAGATTTCTATGGATTGATATGTAGTATTTTCAGAAAGTAACTGTGAAAAAAAAAACAAAAAAAAAAGTCAAGGTGCTAATAAACAATATATAGTATGCATTTATGTAGGTAAGAATACACATACACACACGTTTGGGTGTTTTAGATACAAACACATACATGTAGGGGTAGGGGTGTGTGTGTATTTTATGTGTTAGAAGAATAAACCATAAATGAATGATACTGCTAGGAATGGGTCTTCTATGTGTACCTTTCTATGCAGTTTGGCTTCTGAACAATGTCACTCGTTTACTTGTTAAAAAATAATACTAAATCAACAAGAATAGGGCCAGGGAGAGGGGATCCAAACTAAATAAAATCAGAAATATACCTGTCAAATTCACAACACAATATATACAAGGAAGAAAAGTAAACTAGACCATACTTCTAATGCTACCCTGAGTAGAATACATAGATTTTGCAAAGAAAGCAAACATATTAAAAATTTTATATTAATTAAGTTAGTTGTTGGAAGTATTATTGTTGTAACAATTTTGGAACTGTTCTGAATGTCTTACAGATTCAGAATTGTCAATGAACAATAAATTATAAAAATAAAACCAAGTCATCACTATAGAAATAGGGGATAAAATACAGAAAATGAAAAAGGGAAGCATGTGGTGTTGGATTAGAAATACCAGTATGATGATTGTAGACATATATATACTACACACATACCAAATATAAATACTTTAATCAAATCTTGCTCACTGAATTTTCCCCTTTCCAATCAATCCATTCTGTATGGTACTGATAGAATGTTACTTCTCTGTCATTAACCTTTTATATCACCAACTACTTATAATATAAAACTCAAACTCCTTAGTCAATCAATCAAGTAAATATATTATTTTGTCCTCAAGCTAACTTTTCCATAATTATTTTCTAATTACTGACTTTTCAACTAAAATGCCAAAGGATTCAAAAGATCAGTTGATTTTACTTATTTGTATTTATTTACTTATTATTGGTGGGGTGGGAGAGAATGTTACACATAATGATCAGATAGATTCTGAACAACGGACAGGACCTAAAAATAAAACAGAATCTTGATATGTTTAATGTTTTTTAATAAACAGTAATATGAATAGTGCATACAAATTAAATACCTGAGTCTTGGTTTTTATACTTTTTGGAAGACAACGTCCAGGAGAAGTAGCTTTCACCTCATCTTTCAACTTGGTAATATTTTTTGTCAAAACCTCTAAAGTCTTCATTATTTCTGCTTTATCTTCAGACTTCATTGCTTTATTTTTCTCTAACTTTGAAATCAACATCTGCCAAATTTTTAAACAGAAAAATCTTAGAATATTTGCCCCTACTACTATTTGTAAACAAATACAGCAAAGTAAATATAAAAATAAATACTACTATTCTTAATTTAGTATTCATGACTAAGCTAACAACTAGCAAGTATCTAAAGAATGATTTGGTGATGCTAACTGTATCTCCATTCAAGTCTTACAACTGGTTTACCTTGTAAAGAAATTTATTACTGTTTGGCTCTCTTAAAACATGTTCAAAGTATACAACCAAAAAAAAATTTAATTCAAATCCCGGAAAAGTTTTCAACTTGAAATAGTATAAATTTCATTTTCTCATTCATTTGTTATTATGCTTCTTCAAATATTCTCACTCTAAATATAGTCAGTGAGCTGGGGGGTGGGCAGAAAATGTATTTTATGGCCCCTTTCATACAATGAAAAACTAGGTACAATGTACAATTACTTTTCTTTGCCACAGGGAACAATAATCAGTTACCCTGAGAATGATATCCTTAACATGGAAAGGAAATAAGAAGATAAGCAAAATAACATGGGGTGAAAGAAACCACATAGTATTGCAAGTTCTATGAGTTAAGATGGATTTAGTTTTTAATGTAAAGCACTGTGATTTCTCTTTATAAGGTATACCCAAACTTAAATTAGTAAAGACATACACTTCTAATTAAAATGTGGTTTCTATATTTTCAGATGTCCTATAGCAACCTACACATAATCAAGAACTGACACTAAATAAATGTTACAAATCAGAGAAAAACTGCCCCCAAAAATGAGCAAAATGAATTCAATAACATTAATCTAATACAACCAAAATGGTAAATTTCGGTAAAAATTTAAAGACATCATCAAATTTTTTTCTTCTCCATCTTTGAAATTTGGTGTGTATTCTACACTTAGATTACACTCAATTGCTAGATGTCGCTACTGCACAACACAACACAGGACTAAGAGATCCCAAGCCAGTAAAAAGAGGTACAAAAACACTGAAATAAAGCTTTCATTTCATTAACTTTTGATCAACCTACTGTGCAGTAACACAGATGAATGAATACTATACTGTTTTAACTTCATGTTGATAACCATAGTTCTGTTTAACCCACACCCATCTTTCAATGTCTATTCTTCATCCTCAACACAAAATATTAATAATATTGATGGGACAAAATCATTACAGCTATTTCACTTTTATCATTAACAATTATAATCTGTTTCTCGGGACTAGTTAAATAGTATTAAGATAAAATTCACAAAAAATCATAACATTTGTAAATACATTTTACCAAATCTAACTTTAGCATTTTACCTTCTGTGTTTCAATGTGCTTTTCTAAAATTTCTTGTTTCCTTTTCCTTACGTCCTGCTGCAGTTTCAGTGCCTCCTAGAGTCAGGTATCAAAGATATCATTAGAATATTATTAATGTGATAAAATAATTCAAGAGGAGAAAAGTGTTTACAATTGTAAAAGATTGGCAACAAAAATTATATGCAAAATTTGGCTATGTAAAACTTCTATGTGCAGATTTCAAAGATTGTAGCTTAGCGGTAGAGTGCTCGCCTAGCATGCGCAGGGCCCTGGGTTCGATCCTCAGCACCAAATATAAATAAATGAATGGAATAAAGGTATTGTGTCCAACTATGACTAAAAAAAATAAATTAATATTTAAAAAAAAGATCAATCAGGAACCTTCTATTAAGAGACAATTTAATATTCACTGCTACACTATAGAACACAGAAGTTCAGCCACAGCCAACATACATCTTTTAATATTATTTTGTGACACTTTTCTTATATGCAAATTTTGTTCACTATACTAGATGTACTTACCTGTTTTTTTTTCTGTGCTTCATTATTATCAACTGCAGGGGTGGAAACAAGTAAGGCTTTTTGTGCAGCCTTCAAAGCAGCTGGATTATACACCGTTTTTGTTAGGCCAGTAGATGTAGACAATACCTACCGATACAAATTCAATTTCTTAAAAAAAAAAGTATAAATCTTTAATAATTTCCTAGGTTCTACCCTCTATGAAACTCAGCTTTAATTTCTAATAAAATTTAGCAAAATTAAACTAGATGCATTATATACTTTTAATAACTAAATCACATTTGATGATCTGAAAGGAAGAGTATGAATGAAGAATAAGCCCTAAATAAAAATATTTTCAAATTATCAAATACTTCTAGGGAGTGGGGAGAGAAAAGACAAACATACAAAAATATCAAATCAAGAACAATCACTGCCATTACCATATTGCTCAGAAAATACTAATTGCAGAATACATTAACTACTATCTATAGTGACTAAAGCAAAAATAACACAAAAGCATGGCACAGGAAAAAAACCTTATGTTGTTCGTCAACAATTTAACACAATCATTTGCAATTTGCAGCTCTGAAATAAATGTATTCATTCTCCATTTCTTTGCTAGCAATATTCTCTCTGCTTAAACTTATTCTCTTTAAACACAATTTAGGTTCAGCATAACACAATCAAGACTTTCAAAAAGTCCTGATCATTTCTCTTTATATGAAATTTTATACCTCCAGCTATCAGGTAAAAATACTACAAGCTACTTTTACCTAGCATTGGACTCAGTAAAAATGACTTGATAATATGTTGATGTGTCTTTCTTCTAGTCTATACTGTAAAGGCCTTGAAACAAATATCATGTCTTTCTCCTCTTTGTCCCTGAAGTACCTAAGTCTTACTCATCAACTCATGAATGGTGAGGCCGACCATGGCTAAGATGAGACACCTTTTTGGGCCTTAGTGCACTCATTTATAAAATGAAAAGGTTCAATTTGATCGTTATCTAAAGTCTTTACAAATCTCAAAATTTTCTCCTTGAAGAGGAATTTTCTTTCTTGGTATATTGCTATATCTTCTAGATACAGACATTATCACAACAGTGCCAGGGCACATGGTAAATACTCAAAACATTTTTGCACCCAACTAAACTGACATAGGTCAAAGAGCACAACCTTTTCCACAACAGGGTTAATTCAAAATAATAAGAGTGTTTAGGCTACATTTTTCTTTCTTTCAAAAGCAAAACAGTTAAAAGTTCCCTGGGGTGGTTCTAAGGAAAGAGCCTAGGGATCTCCTCAGGTAGATCTACAACTGCTACAAAAAATAAACATAAAACCAAGTGTGTGAACACTGTAATTTTCCAGAGGAAAAAATATTGCTTATTTTAAAGTCTTAAAGGAATTCATGACCTAAAAAAGATTAAGCCATATACTCAAACGGAAGAGTATCACTGAGAAAAATCATGCTACTTTTTACCTACCAAAACATTACCACGTGGGTATATCAGAGGAGTAGCAGCAAATTGGAGACGATTTTCTAATCTTTTATCATAAAGATTAGAAACTCATCACTATTCTAAGTGTATAAGAAAGTCCAATGAGCCTCTCAAATAAAAATGAAATATAATTACCCTAACTCTATATAGCATAATTTTTGTCAATTAAAGTTCTTAATGTTTGATATACCAAAATCTGATCGGTAATTTTCTTCAATCATTAAAACTAATACTCAGATGTTACAAAAGAATATAAAACAAGAGTTAACCTCTTTAGTTTGTAGTCTAACTTTGATGACCATTCTCTATAACTTTGAAGAAAAATTCCTTCCCTGCTATCTTACCACACCAAACAATGCCAAACTCCCTGATTATACAAAGGAGACACAATAACTTGGTAAGGGGAGAAACATAAGATAATATGCTGAAAACAGAGTCTAATCAAGTATATCTTTCTTTCTTTATGAAGAATACATAACAAGTTGAAAAGTTGTGACCAAAGATTTCTATACTCTAAGTAAATTGGAAACATTGAATATCATAACCTCATTTACCAGGGTCAAATGTTCACCTCATGCCAAAACCAGTGAGAAACCTCAAAGCAAGGAAATCCATGTAATAAATTTTATCTAGCATTTCTTTAACTTCAGCGAACAGGAAATACTTCTTTTCAAAGTGTCCTTAACATATGAGTGTTGCTTCAAAGTGAATAAAAGTATCTGACAAGAACCAGAAGACTACTAATAAAGGAATCTTCTTAGTCCTAATTGCTTTGTTTCATCCAGTAACTTTCTTCTCTAAAAATATGATATCTGAAAATGTATTTCAATGAGCACAAGACTCAAGCACTCTAAGATATATGAGGTAAAGTGCTTTCTACTGTCATATATCACTAATTTAAAAAAACCCTGTAAAGTGCAACCCAATAGCAGAGGTATTAAAAGGTAAAAAATGTGGCATAGAAATAATGAATTATGATTATAAATACTGTTCCCTAACTGAATCTATTTGAATCTAGAGTTTAGATAGTAAGATATCTATATTTTCAAAAGATAAAATCATAAACAATGGCCTTTCCAAACAACCACACTGTTATGGTTTAGATATAAAGTATTAAGTATGCCCTAAAAGCTCATGTGTGAGACATATAGAAGTGAAATAATTGGGTTACGAGACCCTTAACTCAATCAGTGTGTTAATCCCAATAATTATTAACTGGGTGGTAACTGCAAGCAAGTAGGCTGGATCACTGGAGGTGTCCTTTGGAGTATATATTTTGTCCTTGGAGAGTGGAGCTCCCTCTGCTTCCTGGATGCCATGTTCCCAGATGCTTTCCTCAGATACTCTTCTTTAATATTTTTAAAGTTATTTTTAATTGACAAACACTGAATACATACATTGTGTACATTTTTAAAAATATGTATCTTGTAAAGTGGCTCAATTGAGCTAACTGCATTGCCTTACATATTTTGCTATAAGAACACTTAAAATCTAATTCTCAGCAATTTTAATATAATACAGTTAACTACAATCTCTCTTAAATACTTATCTTTTGAACTTATTCATCCTATCTGACATTTTATATCCTTTGACCAACATCTCCCCAACTCCCAACTCCAAGGTAAATCACCACCCTTTTTGAGTTCAACTATTTTATATCCCATATATCAAAAGGATTAAAAGAAGCAAAAGGCTTAACAATTTTACAAGGAAGTACTTTAATAAATATCAAAGAAAAAAATGTATATAGTCAATAGTTGATTTTTGCTACAATAGCTTATTTCCCAGAAAGTTCACCAAATATTTCCAAATAAATCATATTTTCCTGTAAGAAAAAATAATCCAGGTAATTATCCTAAAAAGGATGATGCACTAAAAAGTTAAAATTAAAAATGGCCAGTAACAGTTATGAAAGGAAAAAACCCAACAAAACAACATAAATCTCCCTAATCTTTTCACTTAAAGTAGAAAAACTATATTAAAAATAATCAAATTTAAAAATCAAAGGTTCACCAGGCACAGTGGCGCACACCTGTAATCCCAGAGGCTCAGGAGGCTGAGGCAGGAGGATCTCAAGTTCAAAGACAGCCTCAGCAATTTAGCAAGGCACTTAGCAACTCAGCAAGACCCTTTCTCTAAAAAAAAAACATTTAAAAACGGATGGGGATTTGGCTCCATGGTTAGGCACACCTGGGTTCAATTCCCAGCACAAAAAATGAATGAATGAATCGAAGGGTCTTGAAAACAACTGAATTTTATAGTTAGGCATACAGAATAAAACTTTTTCACCATCACATATAATGCCAGTTACTAAATCAACAGCTGAACTCTTGTAATGTTCTTTCAATTATACTAGACAATTTTCCTTGATACTAATGTTAATGTATCACAATACAAAGGGATCAAGACTTATTTTTTGACTAAAAAATATACTACTAAACTTGGTATCATAAATTTGATATCTAAAACTTTAATTTGAACACTTTAAGTTTAAAAAAAAAAAAAAAAAAACTAACAAGGATGGTATAAACACCCACCAACCTTTATTCTTCATAAGTCTCTGTAGACTAAGCAGAAACACTCAAACATCACTTCAATGATCAAATCTACTCAAATAATACTTAATACCAATTGCAATATCTTTATCAATTAGGTTTAAGTTTCCTCTCTCCCAGCCTTCTCACAAAAATGTAATCTTAGAATAAATAACAATTACTAAAGGATTAATGGTTATCATTTACAAGAAGGTTGTAAAAGTTTCATTTATATATTCATTCACTTTAACAATGACAGAGGATATTGTACAAATACTAGCTTTGAACTTTCTCCTGATTTCAATTTAGGAAAAAGAAATTAAAACCTTTTAAATAATATTCGATGATGGGAAACATTCTTCTCATCTTCCTAAGATTCTCTGGATCTTTGCCCTCTAAGGATTCTGAACCAAAACCCTCTATTGGGTAGAACAGAAACAACCAAGAATACGTAAAAATATTATTCTGCAAATACATTCACTGAAGATGACTATATATGTTACATTCTTTTAAGTAACTGTTTTCCTTAAGATTTTTGCTATTAATAATTTTTTCCACAAATAGCCTATTCTCATTAGTGTTGTTTTTTTTTTTTTTTTTTTTTTTACAAATTCAATTAGTGGTTACTATATTAGTATAATATATATTAATATATACTCTCAAACCCAAATTTTATTCTACTGCTAAATGAAAGACCTTAAAAAATAAAGAAAACCACATCAAAGCACACTGCTAAAATTTTGTGAAAGCTTAGTATAAATAAACTTCAATTCCAGAGTCTAAATCTTGATATAAACAGATCCTGAATACAACTGGGCATTTAAATATCTCCAGAATTGCTCATCAATAAACAAGTATAGCAGATCTTACAGTGTGTTCTTTTCAATTCCTAATATACTTATTATCAAGCAGGATAAATATAATCAAAGTAAACATTAATAGAATAGACTAAAATACACAAAAATGGAGAGGAGATACACCACATGGTGGTTTCATGGAAAATGTTAGAAGAGATTTTTAATCTCTAAAGAACAAATAGAACTTAAGTTAGAAAGGGGGAAATGTAATCCAGAAAAATTACCACCAAAAAGGGGACAGGGGAGCAGGGAGGCAGAAAAGGGCAAGGTAAGTAGAAAAGTATTCCCCAGTGTAGAAAGGAAACCCTAGAGCAAAACAGAACCACAATAACTGAAATATGGATGAGCTGTAAATCAAGTAAAGTAATTTTGCTGAGAAATTCAAAGTTTCTATAATGAATTAACATTAAGTTTGACAACAGAATGGTGACACATGTAAATAAAGAAGGGAAATTTCAAGATGCCAGCTCAGACACTACCATTAGAGGTCAGGGACTCTGCAGAGAAGAGAAAAAGAAATGAACTACAAATACGATTACATGAGTTTTGAGGAGTTCAGACTACACAGTTTAGAAAATGAAAGTATCACCTAAGTAGGGAGTAGGAGAAGTTAATTTATGTGGGAAATAGTTCATTTTAGGCATGTTATACCTGAAATAACAGTGAGATGCCCAAGAGGAAGGTCTGATGTGTAGAATGATATTCAGATTTAAGTTTAACAAAGTAAATGAGGGAAATAGTATACTTAAGAATAAGTGATGACAGCAGGTTAGCTATCTCACTGGATGTTTTGTTTACCTTACTGGATGTTTTTATTTACCTTCGATGTGAATTTCCTTTGTAATCTTCAGAATGGAAAGAGCCATGGACTAGAAATAGGAGACACAAATTCTAGTCTGGCTCAGCAACTAGATCAAACTATACAACCATTGTGCCTTGGTCTACTGGGGACTTAGGACTATTCAATTCTAATATTATGAGATTTCACATACCTCAAATAAAATAAAGATCAAGGCATTCACTCACACCTAAACAGAAAAAAATATATATCTACAGCAGACAGATCCATAAATGGTCTTAACATAATCTGCATTTAACTCCTCATTCAAAAAAAAAAAAAAAGAACTAATGTATTGCAAGGCTATATCAATAGCTGTTCGTAATAAACTTTTAAAAATTACAATTATGCCATCCCTCATCCCTTCCTGTTTACAAAACAGTTTTAAAATAAATGATTTTATTTAATCCTCAGAAAACCCGGTGAGCAAGATGAATATTACCATCACCATTTTACCAATGAGTAAAAAGATTGAGAAAGGTTAAGAGCACTGCCCAACATCATGCAGTTAGTAAGTAAAGAGCCAGGGTTCAAACTCAGGTAAAATTCCTAGTTCATGGCTCTTACTATAAGGCTGCCAGAGTTTAACTAAAATGTATCGTGTCTCTAAAGAAAATAAATATAAAGAAAAAACTAACAAAAACAATGGAGCAGATGGAAATAGAGAGGCAAGTATTAAAATGCTGATGCAAAAAGTAAAAAAACGGTAGACTAATATTTTTCATTTTCAGCAAATGGAAAGCAAAAAGGTAGGAATAAAAGATACAGATACTATTAAGAAGCAGTTTGGAACTATGAAAAAATTAAAAATTAAGATGCCACCTGAAAACATTTACAAAGCCAAGACAAACACATCATGCTATTCTTCTTACCTTTTCAGTTGCTGAAACAGATGGCTTTGATACAAAACCCAACCTGTCCTTCACAGATAACTTAGTTACATTCTAAAAAAATTAAAATGGACATATTCAGTGTTTCCCCAAACATATATAAGTCTGTTGGGATCTTGAACATTCTGGTTCTAATACATACTGAGTCTATGAGTATACAGATACTAATCATAGAAACTGAGGCCTATTTAAAGGGGGGGAGGGGGAAATATGTGTAGAAAAACAAAAGTAAACAGTATACAATATTAATCATGAAAAATTATGATGTAAAATAATGAGGTCTGAACCAGGTGGTTACTGAAGTCCCTTCCACTGATAGGGTTCCCTATGTTAACAAGTAGAAAGCACATTTTAAATTAGATTTGGATAATGAAAACATGCCTGCTTCTAAAGCTTAAAAATGTGTGTCCCATACTTAGCTAAAAGATGTCATCTATTAGCTAAGTAGGATACCACATCCTAACTCTATTTATATAGCAAATCCTGAAACATGGAGAAAAAGGAAAGCCAAGTTTCATAGACTGAGAATACAGAAACAAGAAAATTCCACTTAAGGAAGTGGCAAGGAAATGATATACGGAGAAGAGCATCCCAAAGTCAGGATTAAGTGATGCAAAGTTTTGAGTGACCTGCTTTAGTATGTCAAACAGTATATCAAGCGTACTTAACCTGAGGTATTAAAAGCCTTCCCTTCCCAAAAGTTTTCAGTTCAGTACAATTATCTCTGGAACAGGATTCTAATTAAGTAAAAAGATGATGGAAAAAATAAGATTAAGTGTACTAAATTTCACTCTTCAGGCAGTTTTGCAGAAATATATCCTTCACAAAGTGAAAAAGAAATCTTTCTAATCAACAAGTGTTAAATAAAGAGAAGAATTTAAGATACAAATACCAAATAGAAAAATAAAGACAGTGAAAATGTTATGGTAAAAACTTATAGGTGGGATTCTAATCTGTAAAGATCACATTTCTGTGTAAAACATATATAGTAACTATAATGCAAGTCACCGAGGGAAACTAATTTACTAGTTAATCTAATATTATAATAGATAATTTATTAATAAATAATAGATTTATATTTGATAGATAAGACCTTCCATTTACCTGAGGAAGGTCTGAACTAGCACTCTGGGCTTCTGCTGGTTCAACAGTAGTTGAAGGTACCGGGCCCAGTCGCTCTTTAACTGACTGCTTCACAACAGGCAAAATGGGCTGCTGGACTAAAGGTGGCATTACCTCAGAAGGAGAAAAAAAATTTTAAACAAGCTGATTAATTCAGGAGCTTGGAAAGTAAAACTTTGTTATAAAACTGTACTAGATTATCCGTGCATAATAAGTCTTAAAAATGTAGCTTATAATCAAAACTCAAATGCCTTTCAATTTTCTTTATGCATGCACATTTTTTTTCCATGAAATGACTTATAAACTACAGAAAAAAAATTTATGGAATACATATATAACTACAATTTACTTAGTGCCGCCTATCTGCCAGGACTGTTCCATCTCGTTCTCTAAACTAGGAATTAACTTCACAATTAAATGAGAGAATAGGCTAGAGTGATTAAGTAACTTTCTTTAGTATATATAGTTAACAGTAGATCTTTAGTATATATAGTTAACAGTAGTAAAGTCAGGATCTCAACTCAAGTCCCCCCCGATTCATATATATACCTCTGTTCTTAGACAATATGCTAAGAACTCTTGGGAAAAAGCATTCAATTTCACACAAATCTCTCTCGTTACCTTTGGAGAAGTAGTTTGTAACTGCTGGGTGCTTCCTTCTCTGTGCCAATAAACCTTAATAAAGCGATTATTTAAAACTGCTTCTGTACTCGATATTGCTTTCTTTGCTTCTTCATATGTTGCAAATTGGATAAGGGCACCTTCAGGATCACCATTATATGCAACCTATGATTTAAAATGTTAAGAAAAGTGAATTTCTAAAGGAATCTGTTTCTTCATACAGCAAAATTCCTCAAGATGTCATACACTCTTCCTTCCAAGTAAGATGCCCATCTTTGTTTACCTTATATCTAAAGTATGACCATAGTCTACTTTTATTTCAGGAGAAATAGTAAATAGCCAAGGATTGTTAGTGCATTAAAAGAGACTCTTGTTTACCAGCAAAGCTGATTGCACAAATATTATATACAGACCCTTAAAACTATTTCTCTTTTTACCTCAAATTTTAATACAGACCAAGAGAAAAAATTTCTGTACATCAATGAATGTGATGGCAAAGACTACTTTGGAAGGGGTGATTTCCAACTAAATAACATAGAAAAAAACATCTGTACAATATTTCAAATCTGTAATTTTCACAATACTTCTAAGATCAGAAGAAAATAAAAAGACCTATATAACAGCACCATCAATCACATTTGACACATAGGAAACAGATTCAAAGAATGTTTCTAGAGATAGACTCATACAACTAATAAAAAAAAAAAAAAAATCCAAGATTTTCACTCCCAATTTCCTATTCTTGCGTAATAGCAGTATTTTCGAAAGTGTGGTATATAAGCCACAGGCAACAGCAGTAAAGGATCGAGATTAACAGCATGGTCTGAATCTCACTGCCTGGCTCAAATCCTGATTTGACTCTCACATAAGAGCAGGTAAGTCACTTAATCTTTCTGTGCCTCAGTGTCCTCTTCTATAAATAATAACAACAATACCCACTTATTAGTGTTGTTTTAAGAATACAGCAATAACACTTAAAAAGAGTACATATTCAATAAATATTAGCTAAAACTATAAAAATAATTTTAGGTGGCATTTTAATAATTATAACATTTATTAGAATAACATCAATTTTTAATTATGATAACAAGGGTACTTTTAATGATTTTGCAAAACATGTATTTTGTAAATCATAATAATGCAAGTACTATGAAGACACAGGAAAGGAACAACAAAAATAAGATATTAACCTCATTAGTAATTACATAAATGCAAACAGAAACAATAGGGAGATACCATGTTTTGCTTTGAAACAATTTTTAAATTAATATTACCAGTGTAGTTAATTTTGTATATCTCAAAATTATCTGTTAAATGCATTCAACCACAGAAGTTTGTATGAAAAAAGGAATATTCTGAAAACTTTTTTATGTCTAGATATAAATGTGGTAGAGTAAACTGAACTGCCATAAAAAGATACTGAAATATTCCAAAGTAAATAACTATAAATAACTACAGGGTAATGTACATACTATGGACCCATAAACATTTTTAAAATTTTTGCATGTACACAGCAATAGGTATATAAAAACAATCTAGAACAGCAAATGATAAATTATAACAATTAGATTATTTTATATGGGTAGAGAAATGTGTGGAAAACATCAAGTTAAAAAGAAAACATTTCCTTAAAATTCTGCATTCATTTCTATTGCTCTACTCTGAACATGCATTTTTTCCCCTCCATTACTTTTATACCTGTGCTTTATAAAAGAAAAGTTTCTAAAGATCAACTCAGAATGAGCTATATCCTCTAAAATTTATTTTATTAGATTATAAAACAATTTAGTTGAAAAGTAGGCATAAGGGGGAAAACAACACTTTCAACATGTCACATAGTTAAATAATACTTAAAAATCTCCCAAGTTTTATATACCCAAGGACAAATTTTAAGTGACATCAAACATAACTTATATTGTTGTTTTTCTTAAAGAATGTTCAAAAGTGGTAGAGAAAAGTAAATGTTTAAATTAGTTACAAATTATGACACTGGTTCCCAAAATTAACTGTTAAGTGCATCCAATCACAGAAATTACAGAAATATATTTGCTCAAATGATTTTGCTGAAATGATTCTGACAATATGATCTAGAAAAACTCAGGAACTGAAAACTACTAAATTATATTTTAGTAAAGTGATTATTTAACTTTGTGTCATCCTTTATTAGGTAAAATATTTATACTAATATCATCAATCAAAATTCTTGCCCTCCAGCAAAGAAGGAGACTGAGGAACTTAACTCAGTAAGGCCATATCTCAAAAAGTCCAAAAGGGCAGGAGATATAACTCAGTGTATAAATCAACAACTTAGCAATCAATCTTTTTTTTTTTTTTTTTTTCTCTAAAAGGTAGTTTCATTTCATGTCTGCTGTGGTTTGGATATGGGATAAGTGTGTCCCTTTAAGCATTCATGTGTTAGAAGCCTATATTCTTAGTGTAATGATGTTGGGACACAGCGTAAACCTTTAAGAAGTGGGGCCTTATGGGAGTTCTTTAGGTTATCAGGGGAACAGCACTTAGAAGGGTTAAGGAATTTGTTTAGATAGTTCTTGTGGATCTCTGAGCTCTCACAATAGCAAGCACGACTGCATCAGTTCATGTTTTGAGATGTAATCACTTCTTCTCACATGTATTCCCATTTCGTAATACCATCCACCCTTAGGCCCTCATTAGAGGACAAGCCAATGGCACAACCTGATCTTTCGGCCCCCAAAACTAAGAGCTAAATATGCGTCTTTTGTTAGCCTGCATCAGGTATTTCACTACAGTAACTGAAAACAGACTATTATAATGCCCAACTTTAGAATATTAACAAATTTCCATAATATTGCTTTATAAAAGTGGTTTTCTTATTAAGGTCCCTAAATAATTAAGCAGGGACAAGAGAATCATTTTATAGCTCTTACCTGTAAGTTAACCAATGTTCCAAATCGACTAAAATGTTCATTAAGTTTGCTGATATTATTTAATTCTGGAGGAACTTTTCTAAGTTCAAGTTTGGTATTTTCATTTCCAAACTGAACCTTCTTCTGGAAGCCTGGGCTGTTTGTTCTATTAAAATTTGGCCTATAAACAAAAATCAAGCTGATCAACACATTTATAAATCCCGAGCCCTATAAATACAAAAGAATAAAGTTTTAAATATAAAACAAAAGTCCAAATTTCCCCCCAAAACTGAAAGTACTGAAAATTAATAAAAACTGAAGTAATTATCTTCCAAACAGCTTCTAAATTAATAGTGTTATCATCTTTCATGGTTCTGCTATTATAATACTGGTTACTTTTTCAAACTTCTGATCTGCTCTTATTTAACATGCTCTTATTTAACATTTAACTCATACCCCAATTTAGTCAGTTTTCACAGATAACTTTTGTTCCATTTCTGCCAAAGCTAGTTTACTGAAATGTATCCTATTTAAAAACTTCAGTTAAATTTTAAATTTGGTTATTATTGGTTATTGGTACAAATAATGACCACCTCAACCTCTTTCCAGGTTTGTTTTTTTAATGTACATACAATACACTTGACATTTGAAAAGGGGACAAAAGTGTGACCCAGAGTGTACTGTTGGCCTTAAATCATAGAAATAATCACAAAGCCAGAACTAGAAACTATGTGTTTTTAAATATTAAAGCTCAAAAGCATGGTCCTCATCTCAGTTCATAAATGAAAATTTATAAATGACTCATGACACCCTCCCCAACATTCTGATTCCTTATACCTTTCTATGAACCTTTCCTACATCTTAAATCCGGTAACAACTCTTTCTAGCTCTTAAAGAGAAATGGCCTATATGCTAAGATCTTCCCAGACCTAATCCATACCTTTTTTTCCTAATGATATGGTATTCATGACCACCCTTCATATACCTAGTATTAAAATATATGTCAAGTAAAGAGTAATCTCTTTTGGAGGAAGGGGAAGTAGATAGAAGAAAAAGAAATGTGGTTCTTAGCCACTATACTGCTTTTACAAGAAAATGCCTTTCTAGTACCAAACAATGAACTTTAAAATTTCTAGAAAAAAACCTTAAATTTTATTTGGGGATTTGCTTATAGAACAGAAAAAATGTAACATATTGTGATACAGTAATAATCCCAAAAATCTGTGTACAATATAATTCTCCAATTTTTCCTGTCAGCTTACTTATCAAACCAAGTCTTCTTTGTAGGAACTCCAGGCTCTCCGGAACCTATGGTTCTTTTCCTTGATTCTGAATCCACTACTATCCTCATACTGCTTTTATTAGGAGGCTTTTCTGTGTTAAAACAAAAGAAAATGAAAGAAAGTATAGATTAATATTTCAGTTTTTTATAGCTACTTCCTTAAATTTATATTTAAAAAGTTCTGGCTGTGTGTGTGTGTGTGTGTGTGTGCGCGCGCGCGCGTGTGTGCACGAGAACATAATCAATAATTCTCAAAAGCCAAATAAAAACGTGATTTGTAAGCTACTTTTTTCCCTAAATGTTTTTATTACTGCCGTATAGTATACATAATAGTGGGGTGGGGTTCATTTTGGCATAATTATATATGTATGTAATATAATTTGTTCCATTTCAGTCCCTAGTGCTTCCTCTTTCCCTCCTCTCACCTTCCTCTATTCCCCTCCTCTATTCTACTAGTCTGTAGGTCACTTCATTAAGGGTAAAACCCATGTCACCACTCCCATCTGCCATCACTTTCACAATTCCATATAAAAATATACAAATAAATCACCTTGAAGCAGAAATTCAGTTTTAAAGTCAAATGTACAATCTAAGATTTTAATTTACCACTGACTGAATGACCTTTAGCACAGTTGTGAATGAACTGAGCTGCCTATCTAAAGAGGAACATTAATATAATGAAAGTTGTCCCCACTTAAAAAGGAAAATATTTGAGACTGAAATATAGTGCAAAAGAGCTATAAATATCAGCTATTTTCAATATTTTACACATTTCCTGCTAAAAGAGCCTTGGAACAAAACTGCCTTACTTTCTTCTAGTCTGTTCTACGTGGACTTTTTGCTTCTAGATTTTTCTGGCTGTCAACTAATCTATACAGAAGGAGGCCCAAAATCAATACTCTAGAGCCCGATTGTTTTTCTTTTTATCTTCTTCTGCCTTTCTCATGGCACTGGCACTTCTCATCAACATATAAACACTTAATTCCACACCTCAAATTATTCCATTTTTACAAACAAAATCCTATAAAACAAATCTCCCCTTCAGCTACTTTCTCTTCTCTCTCTGTTAGTCCCTCCATATCTCATTCCCAGCCATTTCCTAAGAGAATTCTACTCTTGGCTAACTTTATTTCCTTACTACCTACTTTTCTCACTCACTCACTAATCCTCTGAATGTTGACAGCTGCTTCCATTATTGCACTTAACTTGCTCATACTAAGATCAATGATGTCATAACTTGTTGCTTGGTCTATGAATACTTCTCAGTCTTCCTCTTACTTGACTTTTAAGGAGCACTTGCTGTTGTTGATCACCTTCCTCTCCTTAGATATTATCCTCACTGTATTTTCAGAAATTCCTACCCATTGCTTTTATCTTGTACCCTTTGGGCTTCATTTTTTTCAGTCCCTTATGTATCTTCCCCTATTTATTTGGTCTTTCTCCTCTCACTCTATGCAGTCTCGAGGACATCTTGTATCCATTACCATGGCTTCATTCATCTTTTTCAATGATTCTTGGGAGTAGGCTGTGTATGTGCGGCTGGCATGGGGATAGTTATCAGAAGCACAAAAAAAAGGGTTTTAGAACTTATATTCAGCCAAACTTGCAAACTTTGTTACAGCTTCTTTGATCTTCCCTTACCTTCACACTGTTACTAATATGACAGAAGATTAAAAGCCAATGTACTACATATTTGTGACTTCAAACATCTTTATTTTCTAGTGAGCTATCTCTCATGGACCTCATACTTCTAAATCCTACCTCCTACTGGATATTTCTACTCAAATAACTGATAGGCACAATAATTAAAAACTTCCAAAACTAAATTTATCTTCCTAACAAATCCGTTCTTCTCAGTGAATGATATTATCATTTGCCTAATTATCCAGGGCAGAAATCTGGTACCTAATTTTATCCTTTCCATTTGTTCTATGTTATACCCCACACACAAGTCAGCAAGTTGTAAATGTCAATTCTATTAAACCTATTTTAGCAATTCCCACTGTTATTACCCTAACCCAGATACTATCACCTCTACTACAGAATTCTTTAAATGCCTCAACTGGCCTCTTGACTCCCTCCATATCTCTTTCTTCCTATTCCAAAAACAAATTCTTTCAGTTTCTCAAAAATATCATATAAACAGTGCACATTCTTTATCTATTTCTTTACTCTAGTTGATTTATCTTCCATCTCCACAGAAGATCGGGTGGAAATCTCTGACTTGCATTAATGATGGTCATAGCGCAAGCAGCAGTTTCTGCACCCACTAGAACCATGACCAATTCTGCAGTGAGATTTTTAGTCTTATTCCTGTTTCCTATCTCCGGCTCACTGGCCCTTTTGGACAATCTTTGAGCTCTCCAATATTGTTTTTTCACTTGAATATGTTCTATATCTGAAAACTCACTAAAGGAGATGGTAGTGTTTTCCTTCCAGTAACTGAGATGGGTTTGTGCCAATTCACCTTTATTCTCTCACTCAGATTCCCTTTCATTAATATTTACTTAAAAGAAAGGTGTTAAAAATAAAGATGCAAGTTCCTCTTGGTACATAGTCAGTAAATGTGTATAATCCAGAACAGTACATTTGAAACCTAAATAGGAGAAAGATGAGAACATATGGATGAAAGAGAATACTGAAAAAAGACATGAAAACAGAAGTACAGGCAATCCTCAATTTAAATGGGCTACAAAGTCAGTTGTTTGGTACATTAATAACAATGTTATTAATGTAGAATATATCCATAAATTAGCTCACAAAAATAGTGCACAATGTAAAGAAGAGTACTAAAATAATCACTATGAATTACAATGTTTATATGAGAAAAGGCATTCAAGTTTCAAAGTAATGATGCCAGACTGCAAGACATTTACCTCTCCATCACTTCCTGTAACTTATAACTATATGCATTAAGAGTTGAAATTAACAAGAAAGAAATAGTTAAAATTACCATTAACTCCAAATTCTACATAGTAAAAATTATATGCAAGTGTTCTAATGGCTCTTCCTTCTTTCAATCACAATTAGAAATCAGTCTGTCATTAGAATGGGTCTAATATATATCAATCTATAGTGGCATATATTTATGCCATTCCAAATCAACAAGGTAAGAAAGACATGACTTGAAGTATCAAGAGAGCAAGGAATATTAGCATGAAGAAAAGAAAGTAAGTGTTAAATAGTGACCTAAGGAAGGAAAAGGGATTTCTATAAACTAGTCAGACAGGAGAGGCATGCAGAGGATGGGTAAATATCACAAATAGCTACAATTTTAAATGTCTACTTTTCAATTATAACAATTTACATATTACTACACAGAAACTATCTTTAAAATCTTTTTTCTACTGTTGTTAATGGTAATGGTAATTATTGTAATGCCTTGAGGTGAATTTTAAAGACAGATGTGAGAATATAGGCATATATATTAAATATCCTCTAATCTCAAAGAGAATATAAATTTGAATTAAAATATTCCTCACACTCCCATCACAAGAGGTTCTTCAAATTTAAGAAAGATGTTCAGAATCTGATTGATAGCTGCCAATGAACAAATAAAAAGCACAAAGTATAAGTAACCACAGTTTATTAAACCACATTTTAGGCAACGACTGTTACTTAGGTTGAACTTTTATTCACAACCAATGAGCTTTGATTTTGTTTAGTCTGGCTAAGTAAGACAGAAGAAAAGCCTGGAATACACTTGAGGTTTTAAAGTTAATTCCAGGTAAACAGTCTCTATTACTTCTGGTAATTCCTTGGTTTTCCTGTATCAAATGTTATCGGTAGCAAATGTTTTTCTTTCAAATTAGTGTGAACTCTGTCCTTCCTCTAAACTTACTTAACAATTTATACCTCTAGTTTAGCACTTTTCTTGATGCCCTGGCCTGTGATGGTATCAGTCTAATTTTTAGAAATTTTATCTAAACGTTTTTAAAAATGAGTCACTTCCTAACACAATTCCTGCTGCTTAAAAATATCATAAGCAAACCTATACAGGATTTTAACATTTCAAAAGTGAACAAAAATAAAAATATACATCAGCACAAGTTTGAAAAGATAATTTCATTATCCAAGCGAGGACAGAATTAAGGAATTAAAGCATTACTGTCAGGAATTTAAATGAACCAATTAAGACTACAAATTGAATAAAATGTAAGAAACTCCCCCCCAAAAAAGCTATCTGAGAAAAACATACTTTTGGGAAATTTCCCTCTTTAACAGAATAAAGGCCCCTATAATACAGATACAAAAGTACACATTTCCTTTTTTCTCATGTGAGACCAAAGGATTCAGGCAACAAAATCACCATCCCTAACTCAACCCAAATAACTGCAGGAGTAATTGTTCTTTATAAATGATTTCCCACTTTGATATCATAAAAATAAGAAGATTCAGTACCTCTTGGTGGTAAATCCATATCCCCTGATGTTAGTCCTATCAAGTTAGGCCTTTGTGCATGCACTCTGTGTCTATACATAGGTCTGGAAGTGTTTGTTATGCTTGGGGCTTCAGGATTGTAGCCATCTGTGTCATATGTATCTGGTAATACAAAAACTGTAATTAAAAAACAATTATATAACTCCATGTGGTAATTTTTAAAATACTGATAATAGAAAAAGTAACTGGATAACATTACTAACATAAAACTTAACATGTTTTATATTATTAAAATGAAAAGCTTTATAGAAAGTCCTAAGAAGAAAACTGACAATTTTCTTAATAATTATACCTGAGGGATTATTTGATATATATTCACCAAGACTACATTGTATCCTATTTTATTTTAGTAAGAAAAACTGTCCTGAGACAGCATTGAACTTTCTAGAGATTTTTAAATTCCTCATCTAAAAACTCTGCTTTAAAACTATATTACACTATGAAAATAGAGGGCCAAAACTGCACCTGCAGTAAAAAGAGAGGGTGGAGCAGGAGGAGGTTGGTGATGAATGCCAGTTGTTACTACAGTAGGAACAGAACTGGTTGCAGAGTTTGGGGGAGCATCCATGCCAGATGGCTGCAAAGGAGGAAGTGGAGGTGGTGGTCCTGTCAAAACCAAAGAATAAGAAATATCATCTGGAAGCAAACAAATAAAATAAATTATTATATATCCAAACATGATATTCTCATTTATCAAACTGTAATCTTCTACAAACACCAAAATCTTACAACTAGTTTTCTATGGCACATCATCCTTTTAACGTATTCCAAAAGAGGTTTGCTTTAAACTATAAAGGACTAAAGGTAGATGGGATATATCAGTGACATACATAATTCACAAGGTCATTCCAAACCACAGAAAAGTGTTTGGCATAGGATGCAACATGTAGGTATATTCCAAATAAGAATATATTGCTTAATTTCTATTAGGCATCTATGGACATTCTTTAGATGCTTTTAACAAAATCAAGTATCAAACTATTGACTTTATAAAAAGAGTATAAACAAACAGATAATAAACACAGACAAACAAACATATCTTCTGACCTGTTACAGGTGGGAGACTGGGTGGTAATGGACCTGGAGGTGGCACTGGGGGTCTGAGATTCACAGGCGGGGGTGTAAGAATTGGTGGAGGTGGGGGGAGTCCAGGAGGAGGTGGTCCTTCAACAACAGGAGGCTGTGCTGGGAAAGGCAACATGCCAGGAAGATTGACATCTTCTACAACTACTGGGTCACTTCCATGATCAAAAGGGCACATGTCTCCTCTCATACAAAAACCCTTTTCTGTGAGGAAAGTTAAAAAGAAATGTGAAAAGCACTGGAAATATAAATTGTCTCTAAGTTAAGAAAACTAAAATACTTACAAGGTGACTGTTTTAAATATTGGGCAAAAATGTAATTAATTAACCACTTCACATGAATAATCTGCACTTTTCCAGTAATATAATCAAGTGAAAATACATCTAACATATACACTTAAAAAAAAATCACCAGAATTAAAATAAGTATACCCAGTTAGCAAATAACATAAAACTGATATAATTTCTAGTGTGTTTTTCTTATTAAAAACATATTCATTTAAATCTCTTGTTTAAAACTAAAAGAATAGTGTGACTATGGTTTTAGCCCTACTCATAAAATTTTTACACCAAATCCTTATAAGTCTTCAATTCTCATAAAAGTCTCACATGTCAAGATCCTTTTTACATTTGAACAATCACTCATATGTAAAGAAGTCAGTTTTGCCAAAAATGTTTTAGTAGCCAATTTCTTTAAAAATAACTCAGTAGATATTTATTCTTATTTGGTAAACTTGAACAATATATTAAGACTTACATACAAATAAATACTATTTTTAAGCTGATACTAAGTTATCAGAGGTGACTGATCAAAGTACAATAATATTAGGGAACTTAAGAGATGATAAAAACTGATTTCTGACTATTTCTACTACCAGAAATTAAGTGTCTGAATAACTATACAACTGAAAGAAGTTAGGAAGCTGAAGTATTAATTTAATACTTTATGAAACAGTTGAAAAACACTTACCATCATAGTCTCTACACCTTTTCTTTGGCATTGGTGGTCTTACAAAAGAGTTATGGTCCACCTGGTCTTCATGAAATTCAGACCAACTTTCAGTAGTGTTATTACCATGATGAGTGGGTGCAATTACGGTAATGGTGCTGCTCAAAGTAGGTACAGGATAGTGGCCAGAAGAGATATTGGGTACCGAAGACACTGGAGTATAATTATTTTCTAATGGATCTGCTCTATCCAGGTCGTATTTAGGTTTTACTAGATCCCTTTCTGCAAACAAAATATAAATGACTTATAAAACTACACCCTATTAAAAAAAAAAAAAAAACTGTACAAGATATAAGAAATATTTTTGCTAAACATAGAGAAAGTTTAAATTTTGCACAATCCTTGTTTTATTTTAAAAACTATTCAATTAATACACACTGTTCCAAGGTAAGTTATTTCAGTATGAACTAAACTATAAAACTACATGAAGATGCTGTATTTAATGAGTTTTTCCTATGCATTTTGTTTATACAAAAAAACAAATTTGTTATTTCCTTCATTGCAATCCTAGTATGTATAATTGCAGCCTATAAAACAAAGTATTTAATAAAAAGTATGGCTATTTTTCGTGTGATAAATATTTTCTTATTATCCACCTAAAGATATGGCTTTTTTATAGTGAACACAATATTTTATAAAATAATACAGCCAGGGATGATAGTATACACCTATAATCCCAGTGAGTCTGGAGGCTGAGACAGGAGGATCACAAGTTCAAGACTAGCATCAGCAACTTACAGAGACTATGAGCAACTTAGTGAGACCCTGTCTCAAAATAAAAAGGAAAATGGGCTGGGAATATGGCTCAATGTTAAGTATCCCTGGGTTAAATTCCTGGTAGCAAAAGAGGGAAAACAAAGGAGTTCATATTAAATATAAAGAAAACTAGGCTGTATATGATTCCAAGCAAGAGAAAATACATTAAAGAGGTTAAATGGCAAAATGTGTGAAGAACCTGGTATACCTACTCACAGAAGAAAAGGCTATAAGAAAAGAATAAACAAGTTCAGGGCTCAAACAAAGCACATTAACAGTATTAAAAGTAACAAAAATATAAGTTTAAGTTAAAGTATTTTATTCAAAGATGTTTTAGTCAGATATCTCTTTCAATAGTATATACTGGGGACAGGGAGGGGGATCACAAGTTGGAAATGACAGGTTCTTGCAAATATACACATCTGAAATAAAACTTTTAAACTATTATAGTTCTGAGGTATAACTGATAAATAAAAATCTAAATGTAAAATATACAATGTAAAAAGTTGTGATTCATGTATATACCTCTGAAACCACCACCATAATCAAACTAAATATACTCATTACCTCCAAAATACACTCATAGTCCCTGGTAATCTGTAATCCATTCTTCCCTACTTCATCTTAGGCAATAATTATTTGCTTTTTGTCATCAAAGCTTATATTTTCTAAAATATATATATATATTATATACACACATGCACACACCATATATGTATATATACTTACCTGTATTCTTTCACTCAACATAACTACTTTGAGATTGATCTACTTTGTTAAATGTATCAATAGTTTTTTTTTTTTTCCCCCTTTTTATCCATGTTATGGTACAACTATGTGTTTATCCAACTACTCATAGACATTGGGGTTGTTTCTAGTTTTGGCTATTACAAATGAAGCTGCCATGAACATCTATATGCAAATCTGTGTGAACACATGCTTTCATTTCTTTTAGGTAAATATCTAAGAGTGGAATGGGTGGGTCCTTTATTAGATGCACATTTAACATTTTAAGACTCCGCCAAAATGTTTTCCAAATAGCCACTTAAGTAGTCTACATTCAAAGAATGAATACAGTCTTTTGCTGTAGATATCCTGCTAAATGTACAGTGATAATTATGGTTTTAACTTTCATGGAATAAACTTTTAAAGTAATCTGTTTTAAAATATACACTTAGACCACAGAATACATCATAACAGACAAAAATAAAGATAAAATTAGCAAAATGTTGAACAATTTTTAAAAACCCATAATGTGAATTTTTTTCACAGTAAAAAAATGCTAACCAAAAAATATATAAACTTGTATTATTTACCCCTGCTTCGTGTTCTGCTTCTGCTTCTTGTCCTGCTTCTATCTCTATCTCTGTCGCGAAGCCTTTCTTTACTCCAACTCCGACTTCGACTCCTGCTGTAACTGCGACTTCGCCCTCGTCTTCTATTGTACCGGTCTCTGTATGAATCTCTTCGAGGAGGGTTTCGATCATAATCTCTTTTGCGAGAACGATCATCTTTTTTCCTCTCATCACGACTTCTAGAGATATATGATCACTTTTATGTAAATAAAGCTAAAGTGGACAGGGTAGAAATCTCTAAACGCAAAAAGTTGCATTTAATTCTTGTAACATCATTATTTTTTATCTCACCATCATAATACAAGTATGGGAACTACCAGAAAACTTTTAAGTACTCTAAAAATGTTTAAAAGGAAAAACTTTTTTAACAGCATAACCTTAATCTTATACACATCTACATCTACACAATTAGTCATCTGTACATAAAGGCATCTATACCTGTCTTTACATTACATACAGTACAAATAGTCTTATACATATAATCAGGCATGTACTACATGTATATACTAACACTGCTGAAACCATAAGGGAAAAATTAATTTAATTACATTAAAGCAAAAAGTAGTTGGATTCCCCTGCAATCTGAAGTTAGAAATAAAAATAATAAACAATAAATAATAAATGTCAAAATATTATTCTCAATCTTTCCAAGCTATACAAATATGATCTAGATTTTCTTGGTAGAGAAGGACCTAGTTATATTTTCCAGGATAAATAAAAGAGTAGACATTACTTGCCCTTATGTAAAAGATAATCAAAGACTATACATTCTTATAAAAGACAATCTCAAAGTCTAAACATTGAGTATGATTTAATGAAATCACCTATTTTCTCTGTATCGGGAACTTGACTGGGGAGGACTGTGATTCAGCCTTCTGGAAAACTTCTTCTCTCGCTCTTCTTCTTTTGTAATCTGATATTTTTTAAAAAGTACAAATTTAGCAACAATTATTCATTGTGATATTACTATTTCAATAATTTATGATATTTAAATTAATTTATATAATATAGGAGCAATATTTTCCTCTCATCATGACTTCTACAGATATATATGGTCACTTTTATGTTAAAAAAAAAAGCTAAAATGGATAGATATGCAAACAATATGCAGATATGCAAACAAAATAAATTTCACTATTAAATATAATCATTTAACCATAATGGAGTCTGCTCAAATTTAAAGTATAGAGTAAAAAAATTCATGTTTATCTTAAATAATAGTGGTAAGAAAACAAATATTTAATTGTCCTCATTTTAATATAATTAACAGAAAAACACTTTACAATTTCTTTCAAAAATCTAACATACATGCTATGTTTTGGTTTCATAGATTTAGTCTTATACCAAACACATCGAAGAATATAATAGAATGCATAAAAACTAACCAAGTATTAAAAAAGAAAATATTTGAGGACTGGGAATGGGTGCAAGGCCCTGGTTCATCCCTAACACAGGAAAAATAAAAGGAGGGGAATGGTGAAGAGAATATTTGAGAAAAATATGTATAGAGCTAAATAGTTTCTCACTGCATCCTGTCAACTATATAAGGAAACATTCCCTTGATCAGTGCTACTTTTTCCAGATTGTACAGCCCAGAACACTAGTTTCACAGGATATTAATGTATAATAAGAAAAAAAGGAATTAATACTGAGCATAGTTTCTACAAATGTGTCAGGGCTTAAAATTACTCATTTGCATGAAGAACCCTATTCTGATTCAAGTAATCTATAGGCAGGATACACATATCCCAGTTAATACCACCTTTTTCAGTATTCCTTTGGATAAAAACGTCTATCAAAAGTGTACCACTTGAATAAATTAAATGGAAATTCTACCATTAGACTAAACTAGGTGAATATTTTATAATGCTTTCAACAGTTTACTTCTTCATCAAGTACTTTTCTCTTCCCACCTACTCCAACTCCCCTCTCAACCCAGATAAAAAAAACTGCGAACTAATACAACCGTCCTGGTGCACTTTTCCTTTCTATTTGCCTCAATTGTCCTCTTGCAAGTAATTTAAGTTGGCAGCCATATTCCACAGCACATGCTCGACTGAAAATTTTTAATACACCACAGCATTTTAAACCCAAATTGCCACCTGGAATTATGATAGTTCTAAAAGATCAGGGATAAATATTCTCCACAACTGGCCAAGTAAAAAGTATTACTGCATCAATAAACTTAAGACTAAGCTTTATCGCTAACTTGCTTTGGAAAAAGACTATTTCTTACATCAAGGGCCCATTATTTACTAAAGTTTTTTTAGAGACAGCAAAAATCTGAAACCAACCCAAACTTGTATCAATGAAAAAAGCTTAAATTATTATATATATATATTTATGTGGCACAAGAAATTGCCAACAAAATATGTAGGTCTTTTCCTAATATATCCCACACAATGGTAGGTATGAAAATGCTCAATTACAAAATTACAATTCTTGTCTTCCCCTGCACATAGAATTGACTGGGATGTTTGTGTGTAGGTGTAACTATATATAAAACTATACATACATGTAAATAGCTTCTGTATGTACACATGTATATAAATATATTCAGAAAGACAAAAATACACTTGAGAATTATTACATAATATATGTACATATTATTACATAATAAACTATATTGCTTATATCATCTAGGAAAAGAATAGGAAAAAATACTAAAAATCACAACCATAATTCCCTTGTGTTTGACTACCTTAAAAATAGTTCCTTACTGGGCTGAGTTGTGGCTCAGTGGCAGAGCACTCACCCACACATGTGAGGAACTGGGTTGAATCCTCAGAATCACATATAAATGCATAACTAAAATAAAGGTACTGTGTTCATCTACAACTAAAAAAAAAAAAAAAAAAAAATTTAAATAGTTCCTTACTAAACAAATGAAGGATAGAAGCAAACAAGTCTATTGTCATTCTAATTGTTTTCATAGGACACAAATGATGAGACTCCATGTTTTTAAGATATTGTGCACAAAAGAGTTAAAAGCAGGTCTAGACTGCTATTTTCAGGAGGGCCTGGCTTATAAGACTGGTCCTTGGCTGGTGTTATGCTTTGGATCTGCAATGTTCCTCAAAAGTTCATGAGTTGAAGGCCTGGTTCCCAATGTAGCAAACAGTCAGAGGCTAAGACTTTCAGAAAGTGATGGGATCATAAGAGCTCTAACCTCTTCAGTGGATTAATCCACTGTTGGCCTCATGATTTCAACTGGACTGTTAAGAAATGGTAAAAACTATGGGAGATGGGAACTAACTGAAGGGAGTAGATCTTGGGGGCATGTGCTTAAGGACCATATTTTGCCCCCAGTCCCTTCCTCCAGTTGTCTCTTCTTTGGTCAGTATCTTTCCTTTGCCACATCCTTCCACCATTATGTTCTGCCTTGCCTCAGACCCAAAGCAATGGAGCCAAATTAATAATGGATTGACACCTCTTAAACTGTTAGCCAAAATAAATCTTTCGTCCTCTCAGTTGTTGTTCTCAAATATTTTGATCCAGAAATGAAAAGCTGACTAATATAACTGACTTCTGCAACCCTTGATTTTGTTAGGGTTTCCACCATTCACTGATTAAGAATGACTCACTGGCCAGGTACAGTGGCACACACCTACACGTAATCCCAATGGTTCAGGAGGTTGAGGCAGGAGAATCACCAGTTCAAAGCCAGACTCACTCAGCAACTTAGCAAGACCCTGTCTCCAAAATAAGCAGCTTAGCAAGACCCTGTCTCCAAAATTAAATGGTTCCTGTAATTAGTGGTCGATTAGTGGTTTAAAAAAAAAAGGCTAAGTCTATTTGTGGTAACAATATGATTTATGCCCAGTACCTACTTTCCTTTTGGGAGTATAGAATCTTGGTACATACTAGGTAGAGGGTGCCTACCACAAATAAAAACCCTGGGAACGGAGTCTCTAACCAGCTTCCCTGATTCACTTACATCATCACAACTCACTGTAGGGGAATTAACATATCCCATGTGACTTTAAGGACTTTGGAAACTTTAGTCTATATTCCACCAGATTTCACCTAATACACCTTTTCCTTTTACAGATTTTTGATTTGTATTCTGTTAAGAAGTCACAGCCAAAAGTATGACTGCATGCTGAGTCCTATGGGTGCTCCTGGTAATATCGCCAAACAGAGGTGGATCTTGAGGACTAGTAACACAAAGATACAGAAAAGAAAACTATTGTGCTTAAAGGACCTGTAAGGGATAACACAAATTCTTACCTCTTCTTTTTTTATATCTTTTTCTTGGTGCTGAAAAAACTCTACCTTCAGGCTTCCTGATGATGGCTGCTCTGGAGGAGGTAGATAACTTTTTGTATTCACAGCATCAAAAAGTTTTTCCACAAATATCTGTGTCTCTAAAAAAATAAATAATTAAACAAACAAACTAGATTAAAAGACATGACAAAAATTTTGCACTCTTACACATCAGACCTCCAATATGATGAAATATATCTTGACTTATATAAATCTAGAAATTATAATAAAACCAACAGCTTCCCAATCATTATATAATAGCCATGGTGATAATGATTTGTTTAATCTGTTTTCAAGGTAGGAGAGACTGGAATGGCTACAGCTTCTGGGCCAATCACTTCCCAGTCATGAATAGTCTATTTGATATAGCCCACCCACTATGTAACACAAACACTATTACTATCTAGATATTGACAAAGTGTAAAAGTTGAAAAGCAACATAGCTAGAAAAGATTCAAAGTGGTTTCCTAAGTGATACTAGTTTTGAATAAACATTTAGTCATTTTCTTAATCTTTTAACCTATGTCAGAAAAAACATCAGCATGCAATGAGCATATTCCTGTAATCCCAGAAGCTCAGGAGGCTGAGGCAAGAGGATCACAAGCTCAAAGTAAGTTTCAGCAAATAGCAAGATCCTGTCTCTAAATAAAATATAAAAAAGGATTAAGGAGAAAACTTGGAATGGAACCACCATTTGACCCCATTATCCCACTCCTCAGCATATACCCAAAGTTAGCATACTATAGTGACAAGGCCACATCAATGTTAATAGCAGCTCAATTCACAACAGCTAAGCTATGGAACCAACCTATGTGTCCTTCAACAGATGAATGGATAAATAAAATGTGGTACATATACACAATGGAATATTACTCAGCCAAAAAGAAAAATGAAATTATGGTCATTTGCCGGTAAATAGATGGAAATGGAGAATATCATGCTAACTGAAATAAACCAGTTCCAAAAAACCAAAGGCCGAATGTACTCTGTGATATGTGGACAATGACTCACAATTGGGCAGAGTAGGGTGGAGGTTCACTGGATTGGGGGAAATGGGAACAGGAAAGATAACCCAATGAATCAGACATAACTTTACTATGTTCCTTTATGAATAAACAACCAGCGTTAACTCCACATCATGCACAATCACAAGAATGGGAATTATACTCCATGTATGTTGTCAAAATACATTCTGCTGTCATGTATAACTCAAAGAATTAAAATTAAAAATTGTTCTATATATTTTTTAATTCATTTTTTAGTTGTAGTTGGACACAATACTTTTATTTTATTTATTGTATGTGGTGCTGAGGATTGAACCCAGGGCCTCGCATGCGCTAGGCGAGAACTCCACCACTGAGCCACAACCCCAGCCCCAAAAATTGTTCTATATTTAAAAGGGATAGGTCTCAGTGGTTAATTGCTCCTGGGTTCAATCCCTAGTACCAGGGGAAAAAAAAGAAAAGAAAGAATGAGCATATTAATGAGGAAATTTCCATTTTAAAGCTATGGATATAATCAGAAACAACACTGTTTAACTGTTACAATTACAACCTATCTCATACTAAATTCCTTTAATGCTCTATGAATAATCTTACTATAAATAATTTATTAAAACAATAACAAAATACTAATTTTAAAATCAAAGATCTTACCTTTTTGAAGAAATACATCCAGCTGATCAATACATAATGCCTTTAACTCTTTTTCACTTTTGTCTTTCTTTACCAAAGCCAGAACATATTTTGCTAGGGCTGATGGATCTGCATCACAGCTAAAAAAAAAAAAAAAAAAAGGAATGTTGAGGGTCTGGGGTTGTGTCTGAGTGGTAGAGTGCTCATCTAGCATGTGTGAGTCACTGGGTTCAATCCTCAGCACCACATGAAAAAAATAAAGGTACTGTGTCCATCTACAACTAAGAAAAAAAAATTCTAAAAAAAAAGAATGAAGAAAATTTAGCTATAAATAACAGCACATCCTATAAATTTTAGGTACAAACTGACTTATAAGATATTACAGTTGTAAATTAATATGTGTAAAAATACTGCCTCATACAAGGCACTGAAGAAATATGATATCCTTACGTTAAAACACCTTACCTATCATAAATTCTATTATTCATACAAGAAATGATACACATAATAGAGAAATCAGTTTGTTAAAAGGGTAGAGAAGAACTTTACACAGTTTGTTACCATTTGTTGGGGAGGAGGAGAAATCAGGTATTCAGATTGTTTACGTTTGAATAATATATATGATTCAAAGGACAGAAGGATTAAAAAAAAAAAACTAATAACTATGGTTATTTGTGTCAGGGGAGTGATGGTGAGATCCAAGAGCAGAAAAGACAGGAAGGAAAGTTTCTGATGAGTGAATCATGTTCAAGATTTAACCCTAAATTTCACTGTCCGAAGTCTACACTTACAACCACTACACTAGACTGCTTCTTACAAAAAGTTGCCCAGAAACCAGACCTCCAATTTTCACATCTAGTTGGTTTATTTCAGTTAGCATGATATTTTCCATTTCCACCCATTTAACGGCAAATGCCATAATTTCATTTTTCTTTATGGGTGAGTAGTATTCTATTGTGTATATGTACCACATTTTATTTAACAATTCATCTGTTGAAGGACACCTACCTCCTCCTTTTATTCTCCACTTTTCAGTTTAATTTTCAAATATTTAAAACAGTCTCTAACCAATTTCTCAATCTCCTATATCTTTCCTTTTACCATCCTTCTAACTCATGGGCTTGGTGAAATCCCAACCTCGAACTGCCACCATGCCCAGCTGGCTAACTACTTTTTAAAATTTGTTAAGAATTCAAAATATAAACTAGAATCAATGTTTATAATTTCATATCTAAAACCAAAACAACTTGCACTTGGGAGGCGATTTTTTTCAAGTTATATATGTCATTCCATCATTATTTCTGTATTCTGAAAACAAAGAAAAGGTATGTACTTGCCAGATTTGAGCAGAAAATAAACTGAACCATAAAAATTTTAATGATATACCAAAATGTTTTGATTAGGAATAGAAAGGCTAAAGATGTCCTACTTTTGTCTTAATTAAAAGAACCAATACTACATTATCTGAACATCTAGTAATGATAATCTGCTATGAAAAGCATTTAAATTTACCTATCAAAAGAAAATCATACTCAGACAGTAAGGGGTTATTAAAAGAAATAGTCTCCATGGCAAGCAAGACTGTTAAGGAGATATTTTGCTATACTAGTTGCCACTGCTACTAGCAGGTTTGTGATGTGAATGACACAAAATGTCTCAGAGCTAGATTATTTCCTCCACTGAAAGTGGGACTAAAATCTTCTTACAAACCATAAGAAAGAGGGCAGGGAAAATCAATTTTTGAAAATGTGACATACTTCATTCCTATTTAGGAAACCGGTTCTATTTTCCCTGTGTACTTTTTAACCACCCCTGCAAACAATCATAAAATCTCCCATTAAAGAATGATTCTGACCAAACTGCTTTAACTCTCATCACCTGTTGGGGACACAGGTGGGAGAAGAAGAGTAAAGAAAACAAAAATTTAAAAAAAGAAAATCAGAAACTACAAAATACGCAAGGCAGGACACCTTACTTACCAACCACATTGGTAGAAAGCAGGCAAAGGGGGAATACCTTAACTATTTAGTGAAAAATATATTAAAATAAGATTAAAGTGTGAAACGGTAAGGGGGAAACATAAATCATAATGATGCAATAAAACAGAGAGAGAGAGAATAGTGCGGCTCTCCCATGTAGAAGAGTGCTATGGCTTGAAGTTCTAGGTACCACCTTTTATATTTTTTTAAAAAACAGATTCTTAGAAAATGCTCAAGATGGTAAATAGATGTCATTATTAGATGGCTTATGAGGGATTCTCAGCCTAGAGAATAGAAATGTCAGAGAGAACTCAGTAATCCTGCAAATAATATCCTAGCTATCACAAGGAAGAAGAATTACATTTATTCAAATGTCCTCCATGGGATATAATTACAAAGAGTAAATAAAAACAACAGATTTTTGTCTTAAAAATAGATGGACTTAAAAAAAAAAAAAAGGCCCCCCCAAAGCAAAATAAACTGCCTAAAAGTACAATAAACTACCTGAAAGAGAATTCTTCATTATTAGAATGATTTCAAGTATAGACTGAAAAATCCTTGGCAGATAAGCACTGGACTAGATAGTAAATGCCCCACAAACCTGAAAGAGCATAATCATTAGATTTAATTTTGTTCACAAGATATCATGCAAACATATGAAATATCCCTTCTCATTACCAATCTACCTAGCTATATGTATGTGAAAAATAAAAAATCTTTAAAAAATTACACTATAAATCACATACCATAAAAGATGTTTTACTGAAAAAATGAAAATTGAAAAACTAATTTTCTTAACTCTTAGAATCTGGGCCTATCATGGATCATTTTCATCTTCACAAAGTTTGAATAAAATAAAATAACTTATTATGTTTGGCTTGGTGGTTATCTTCCAATATTGCATTCAATACTCAAATACTTAATATACACTCAGTATGGCAGACATTATTCTAGATACTGAGGATATAACTTTGAAAAGAATAAAGTACCTGTCCCCACAGAATTTATATTGGGGTTGAGAGGACACACATATACATACACATATTTATGTAAATAATATGTACTGTCATATAGATAAGTGCTCTATAGAAAACTAATTCAGGGCAAGATAATGTATAGAGGAGGAGGAAAAACTAGAGAGAAGAAAGGAGAGAGGGAAGCAGGGAGGGAGGAAATGAGTGAAGAATTACAATCTTAGATGAGATCATCCAGGACTGACTCTTGACAAATTGTTTTAAACAGAGATCTGAATCTAGGCAGGGATTGCAATGAAGTACAACAAGATGTTTTATGGGAACAGTCCAGACCCAGTGAACCCAAGAGAAAGAGAGTCTGAGGCAAAAGCCTATTTGACATAATACAAGGAAAGAGATTCCGGTGAAATGGAGCAAAATGAGCATTCACCAACATTTAAATTTCGAATCTTTCATCTCTCCAAGGATTTCAAATTAATTGCTTCAGTGAACTTTGACAAATTAAACATCCAGATCACCTTAAAACCATTCACATAATGATTTAAAGGCATAAAAATAAAACTTTATCAATCTTTGAATATGCCATGTGAAGAATACAACAGATAAGAATGCCATTTTTATTTTGGAGGTTCACCTTCTTGCATAATTTTAATAAGCATAGGGGTGACTATCTAAGAGGGTTATTTTTCTTCCAGCTATATATGAGGAAGTATACAAACTAAATAAATTTGATAAGTCAAAGTAATATAGAATATCAAATGCTATAATAAAATCTCCCCCAAAGAACTGGATTTTAATATTGTTTAAATAACATGAATCAAAGTGCCCCTAGAAATAAGGGTTGCAATTTTTCCTAACCTACTCATCATATAATTGTTTTAGTTTATGATTTAGGATTTTTCAAAACAGTAATGAAACAAAGAAAACTATAACACTCCACAATAATATTTCAGGAGTTTGTTTTGCTCAAGTTTCTTGGAGGCTTTAGAAATTCAGTGGAAGATAACTGATAGAATTTAACCCCAGCTTCCATTTTCAGTAATCTTGAAAAGAAGGAGCTGGAGGTGGTAGTGGGAATTAAAAATTAAATTTAAATATGTTAACTCAGTAACTGAAGAACACGGATATACACCCACATCTGTTCCTACCAATTTTTCATTTTATATTCATGAAGAATACCTAATTTGCATCAGTCATAATTCTTTATTCTGTACTTATGATTACTTGTAAAAACCCAAATTTCAAGCAACAAATATGATACACACACTGAAATTTTTAATTGCTGTAGTTTATTGTGCAGTTTCATATAATCCAAGTAAGGCAAAACAAACTGATTGTGGTTAACTGTTAAAGTACATGTTATTCGTTAAGAATTATTATATGCTCAGTTCATTCTACAAAATAAAATTACCACCAAAACATACTGAAACATGATCTGAACATAAGAATCACACAATCCACTTAATTTCCTCCCACCTTTCTTTACAAGAGGGGATCTCCAATGTTTTCTCAGATTCCCTTTAAGTAAAAATTAGAACTCCAAAGAGCTTTTAGGGCTATAGCTATCAATATTTATTATATTAATAATGAAAGTGAGAAAGTTTTTAATTCCTTTAAACTAACAACCAATTACAACTTAGCATGAATATTATTTTCTTGAAGTCATCAAAGGAAGTATTGCTACAAATAAATGAAAAATCCAAAAGCATCACCAGCTTTAGGCATAGCTATTATCTAGGAGTTCAAACGATATACCAGGATACTACTTTGCTTTCCCTTTAGAGCATTTCATTTTTAGACCACAGAGAAGCAACAATAGACCCACAGCTATGTTATTCTCATAGCTAGAGAAAGGAACCTATCATTCTCTCCCTCAGGGTCTGTACTGGCCCATACTGAAAATGACTCAACCTCCCAGTCTGGGTCATATCCCCTCCGCAAGGTCAGGGATAAATAGAATTCCAAGACTGACCACCTCACTTAAACTAGATACTGTACTTTTTACAGGGGTTGAGGGAAATCCTATATTTTATAAAACAAAAGATTTTTTACAAGAATTATAATATTTCACATTTTGTTCAAATACCTTTAAATGTCCTGTTAATAGAAGGCAGACCAATACTTCTGCATTCCATCTGTTGTGACACTGTTTGGAAGTACATGAAGAAAATCTGGTCCTACACAGAT